CAGGAACTGGACAGTCTGATTCCAACCATGGGCAACTGTCAGAAGAACTCGGATGGAGCGGCTACAAACTCCAGCAGAGTTAAAGACGCCAAACCCGTTCAGACGACTGCTGCTTATTGAGCTAGTGACTCGCTTCTGCATAGGGGCAGGTTTCTGACCTGATCCAGAACACCGCTCAGGCAGACTGCATCCTGTGAGGCAAGTGACAGGTTCTGGTTCGGGCAGTTGCTGCGCTGCAGGTTCAGGTGTGACCTGTTTTCAGGCTCAGAAAAGGCAGCTCGACATGAAAGAGCAAGCAAAGGAGTAGCTTGGCATGTTGTAGAGCAACAAAGCAACAAGTTGCTGTTCTTGGAACGACACTTGACAAAATGCACTGTGGAAAATATGCCAAGATTTCAATGGGCATTTAGAGAAAAATTACTCCTTTTGTTGGGTCAAATGACTCCTTAAATTAGTTAAAGTAGAACAAGAGTCAATCCACAAGAGTTGAGGTATTTTTTTGTTTGTTTTTTACCCAGGTGAAACCAGTTGACCAAGAAAAATTCTAAGAATCAGTTTCCTTTTCATTATCATTATCTTTCCAGTACTGTACATAGTTTAAACCTTCGTAAGCATCCACATTCTTTGACTACCTTCCACGGTAACTTACTGTTACTGGCCAAACTGTGAGGTTCAGTTCTTCCAGCACTTCCTCCCTTGTGTCACACAGAGAGCACTCTGATCAGAAGTGTAGTGCAGAATATTTCAAGAACCACTGGTAGAAATTAAAGTGAGCAGCAGTAAACCAGGACGAAGCTCTGGTGGAGTCTTTCTATTGGGTTCCATTTGTATCTGCTGCCAGAATGTGGATCTGGAATATACCCCACAACCCGTTCACGTAAAAGGTGGAAAACCAGTCGGGTCTTCTAATCACCACTCGGTGACCAAACCCAAACACCGGGAGCTGATTGGTATCCATCACTATGAGACTCTTGCAGTTTGATAATCCTGTGAAAATCCTAGTTTGTAGTACAAACAGAAAAATCAAAAAGAAAGATTGCCTTAATTTAAGTTTAAAAGAAAGCAGCAAATGTTCTTAACGCTAAGAAAATTATAAAAGATATTGTTACTTTTAATATAGATCTCTATGCAATGTATTATTGGTAATACTAGTGTAGGATATTGTAGTATTTCTTATTTTGCTCTTTATAGAGTTAAACTAGTCAAACAAGCAGTTTTGAGACTAATTTTTAAAAGCTCTACTTTGACCTCAGGAACCTATCCATGTCCATGTCTGTTAATCAGGAACACATTAAGTGCTTCATTAACTCAGATAGGCACAAATAAGCATATTTTAAACCTTTGGAAGCCATGTTGGATTTTAAAATTTGATTAGTGAGAACCAGATTTTCCCCTTGGAAATCCAACTGTTTGTTGTTGCTTCTTCAAAATTCCCACTTTTTATCTCGAAACATACACCTCGTCACACACAATGCCAATGAGTCCGATTTGTATTTCTTGGGTTCTTTTCTATTATTTCTTTTTGTATTTCAGTGCCACACAGGTTCTGTGTCTGAGTTGCCTTCAGCAGGGTTGGGCAGATGCTGATCTACACCCAGTTGAATAAAAGTGTTGAGATACACAAAAGACTTGGTATGTGGTGCTGCACTGTGATCCTCCTGTCCTTTTTTCTGTTTCAGTGTGGATTTATCCGGTTCTTCCAGTAGGAACAACCTGCTGGGCTGACATGTGCCAAGTAGCAAGCATGCTACAAACAATTATTTCACATGTATAAATATTTGTGAACATTGGCTGTTGATTGTTTTTCATAAACCCTCCGTTAGAAGATGTATTACCTCGAAGTGTTTCTCACTAGCTTATTTGCACTCACTAGCTTCCAGCGTATTTACAGTTTCTGTGTAACAGGCACATTACTCACAGGGAGCTCACTGCAAAAACACTAAGTCAAGTATTTGATTTAAAAGAGCAATGCTCATTTTACTAAAGCATATAACTAAAGAGACAAATCAGAGAAAGGGATCATTTTAGGCGGATTAAGGTTTAGTTTCAAGTTCAAACATCTTAGTACTCTTGAACCGAGACAAACTATTTTACAAGTAACTTTTCAGTAAGACAATGAAGCTTGTTTTAACTCAATTCCTTAATGTTGATGAAACTTATTTTTTTTGTAACGTGACTTTTTTCTCCTCTTGTTATAAGTGAAGTTTGCCAGTGGAACTAGAACTTTTTCATCAACATTAAGGAATCACTTTACTGATTTAAAACAACGCTCCTATATCTTACTGAAAATTTACGTCTCTTATTTCAAGTGTTCTAAGACATTTGCACGAGAAACCAGACCAAGAATACTTGGTAAGATTTAGTGTTTTTGCAATGCTGCTGCTGCTTTGTGTTCATGAGGGAAGTTACTGTAAAACATTCTATGCATTTGAAGATGTGTACACTGAAAAAAAGACCTTACCGCTGATGTCTGCTACCTAAATGTTCCTGCTGCTGTAGCTGCTCTGTAATAAGTACAGGACTGTTCATGATCAAGTTGAAAATAATAAAATGTTTGCTGGAACTACAACACCTTCTCTGTTCTGCTGCTACCAGGTTCAGAAACCATAATGATCCTAATGCTGGCTTATTATTCCTGGAAGTACTAATGTGGCTATTTCAGTTCTATTCAAAATATATCTTTATTTATCCCAAAGGGATATGAAATTTCACTCATTTCATCCACGTATGTTCAAAGTTGGTGGTTGGTGATTCTGTGGGGAGGAAGGATCTCCAGTAGCAGTCAGTCTTACTTGAAGATTCCTCTGACTAAAGACACTGTTGCTGTATGACAGTTTTATGAGTGTCTGACATGCTAATAACATCTCAGCAGCAGAGATGATATTCCACAGTAACGTCGTGGAAGGCACCATCAGTTGTTGGCAGCAGAGCATGCCAGTTTGGTTTTTGGTTTTGCCACTCCTCTTTAAATTACTGCCTGGCTAGAAAGCCAAACAGAGAGATGTTGGAGCCAGGGATGTGATCCTCCTTAAAGAAGGAGAATGAACTTTCTGTTCCCTTTCAGTCGATTCACTCGGTACAACACGGTAATTATATGCATGACATTACATTTCTTATTTGAGCTAAATCTATATAAATCTACATTCCTGACAAAAATGTATTTGTAGGTATTTCTTAACTTAAAGGGGCATTGCTTTCAAGGACAAAGCTCCTCTTTGGCACTCCAGTTTCAAAGCTTCCGGTTGAGTTGAGTGGGGGAGTCACAGAACATGTGACTCCCCCACTCAGCTCCTTCAGACTGTCCAGCAGCCATAACAAACACCTGGTGGAACTTCATGTCTGCTGAGCTCATTATAGGAGCTACTCAGAGTAACGCTGGTAAAAACTGTAAAGAGTTAATGGAGAAACCATGTGATAACTTCCTGAAGGTGAAGTCTTAAGAAGAGCAGGAGTTTTTAAAGAGACAGAATCCTACAGGCTCAAGTCTCAGCCTGATGGTCTTTTCTGCATGTTAGTGTCTGACGACTCTCAAATGAAGACCAAAAGAACCAATAAAAGACAGACCCAATTTCAATGTATTCAATTACTAAGTAAAATTTATTTTAAATCATATTTGATATACAGCTCTGGAAAAAAAATTAAACAGACCACTGGACTGAACCCCATTGAAAAAACTGATGATTATTCCACCAAATCTCTTCCTGAGTTAAAACATCAATGTTGTGTCTAAATGAATATTAACTTATTTTCTTTGCATTATCTGAGGTCTGTTATTTTGGCCATTTCTTTTTTCTGCAAATAAAAATTTTTTTTATGGAATTTCAGACACGTGTTCTCAATAGTTCATAAAATAAAAGAGCAATGTTCATTTTACTAAAACAACTTTAAAGAGACAAATCAGAGAAAGAGATCATTTTAAGTGGATCAAGTTGGAAGGCATATATATATATATATATATATATTGCATTTCTTTAACAACTGAAGGTAACATGTTGAAGTCGATCACAGTTCCTTTTGGGAGATATTTTGATCCTCCTCTTTATTCATGACAGTGTTCTTCAGCATAAATAAGTCAAAGCCCACCTTCTTGGACAAAGACACCCATGAATTGGATCTTGGTAGCTCTCATCTTTTCTTCTTCCAAAAAATAGTTCTCTGGTCAGAGTTGGAGGGAGCAAAGAACAGGTCAATCATGGAGAGAAATCCGACATAAACTGCAAATATTGTTTCTTTGTCCGTAGTTTTACTTTTAGGACCTCAGTTCTTGGAGGAACAAAGGGTTGAGGTTCATTGACCCCAAACATCCAGCCAGAGATATGATGGATTGGTTCAGCTAACAGTTTATCCAAAGTCCATGCATTGATAAACTTCAGAATCCGTGGCAAGACTTGAAATTCAACCTTCACAGATGTTGCAATCTGACACTGAGGTTGTAGTACTTTGGAGAAAAGAGAGGACAAAAGAATTCAGCCACTGGATGTGCAAAGCTAAAAGAGACTCAGGTCTAAGGTCTTCATAATTATGTACTACTTTGTAGTACGACATAAAATTCTACTAAAATACAATGTTTGTGTTACAATGTGAGTCATTTGCACTCCCTTAGCTGTTGAGTAACATTTTGTCTAGTTGCCCCTGCATTGCATTTCTTTGTTTTTAATGAAAGTCTTATTTTAACCACAATTTCTGTAAAAATTAGAATAGACCAGAATGGCTTTACATAACCAGGGGATGGATGAATGTGGATGAATCCAAAGAGTAGAGCTGACTTATGAGCTGGCAGGCTCTCACCATGTGTTAGTGGGCTTTGGACCCAGCCAGTGGACGTGTACCATTATGCCATAATCCTTCCATGCTTTTCTGGAAAAACTGAATAGCACTAGAATCACTGACTCAATTTTTGGATCTCATTTTCATGACAAAGCGATTGTTCCTCTTGTACTAACACTGTTGCTGTTTATAAATGTGAGTGAGTGTTGGGGTATAAAAAGCAGAAGCTGAAAGGCCAGTCGACACCGAGACCTCAGGGGATCCACCAGCATCACCAAGGCTCAGCTTCACCAAGGCTCAGCTTCCCCAAACAATATACCCAAAATGGGCAGGGTGAGTTAGCATGAGGCTCAGAGTGTCTGCTCCAAACTTCTCTTTTGGAAAATTATATATTCAAATTATAGTTAAGTCTACAGAACCATGTCTCTTTAGCTTTTTAGGTAGACCTACATCTATTCTGGTAATCCATACTGTTTTCTGAGATGAGCTGCACATCGGAGACGTCTCACACACTAAATGTTTTCCTCCAGATTACCTTCTACGAGGACAAGAACTTTCAGGGTCGTCGTTATGAGTGTGACAGTGACTGCTCAGATTTCCACACATACCTGAGCCACTGCAACTCCATCCGAGTGGAGAGTGGGGCCTGGGTGGTGTATGAGAGGCCTAACTACATGGGTTACCAATACGTCCTGACCAGAGGGGAGTACCCGGAGTACCAGCGCTGGATGGGACTCAATGACCGCCTCAGCTCCTGCAAGATAGTCCATTTTGTAAGTCAGTCTGCTCTGGACCTATACTAATTGGGTTTTAGTCCACAATGACTGCAGTGCAGGGTAAAATATTAGAGCTCATGGAGTGCCACTTATGCAATCAGTGCCTGCAGGGCTCAGTCAATAACCAATAAAGGATGTGTTTCCTGTGTGACCCTCAGTCTGCAGTGTCTCATCTAAAAATCAAAGCTGTGAGCTGACGCTGCTTTACGGTTGTGCTCAAATGGTGTAACCTGAAATTTTGCTTAGTGGACATTTCTACTACAAACACATCTCCTTTATCTTTTTTATTCTTACATCCCAAACCCCCTTGCTCTATTCATTCCTGACAACTTTTCCCTTCAAACACCCATCTGTGTCACCCTCTCTCCTCATGTTCCCCTCTGCTTCCAGACCAGTGGGACCCTGTACAAGATGCAGCTTTACGAGAAGGCAGACTTTGGCGGCCAGGCCCTGGAGGCCACCGAGGACTGCCCCTCGCTCCTGGAGAAGTTCCGCTGGAGAGAGGTCAACTCCTGCAAGGTCTTTGATGGCTGGTGGGTTTTCTACGAGCGTCAAAACTACACCGGGAGGCAGTACTTCCTAGAGAAGGGAGAGTACCGTAAGCCCGGTGACTGGGGTGCCGTCAGTCCTTTGGTGCAGTCTTTCAGGCGCTTCACAGAATGATTAAAACTTAATCCAAATTGTCCCAAGTACCATAAATGAGGTAAATCAGAGGCATTAGCTGCTGATTTACCTCAGCTAATTATGTCATACTTCCAACAAGCTGTGGTTTTGAACTGAGGTCTTATAAATAAAACTATTAACAGAATGACTTGTCTTTAGAGTTTTCATATGAGCTGTTAAAGTCATAAATCCAAGCATGAGATTAGAAATGTTATTGCTGTATTTGACCAGTAGTTTAAAGATAATTGATCCCTTCTAACTTTAAGAGGCATTTCTCCCATTTCAACCTGTAATGCATCCGTTGAAGATGTTTTAAAATCGCCAGTACATATTCTTAAGGCCTGATGTTGGATAATATTTAACTTATGGAGGTTTATATCTGCTGCTGAGTTATAAACTAGTCCAGGACTGATCTAATTATTAACCCAGTATAAATTGCTTTTAGTGAATTTCTATCAGCTCCCTACTATATTCCAACTAAATACCTCATTATATTTAATACCTTCCTACATTTATCAATTATTTTCTTAATGTGCACAACCCATGTCATTTCATCAAACCACAAAAGAAATTTAAATTGTGGAACTCTTTCCAAATCCTGACCATATAATTTTAAGTCAATTCTTTTCATCAACTCTTCTTGTAAAAAAAACTCTGCAGGAAATTTAAAACCCCATTTATAAGACCATTTTTCTACAACTGAAATTGCTCCCTGAAGCTTCTTTACAATAAAGTCTAAATTTCTTCCTCTTTTCCACATTGCTCCACTTCACTTGTATTTGTCTTTCTTCTAGAAATTTTTTAACACATCAAAACATGACCATTTGTACTCATTCTTCTAATTTTAATTAATAACCCTTTCCTCCACATCATATCATATGTTCTCTCAATATCAAACATATCTTTAGTCACTTGAGCCTTTCTAATTTCATGCTCCAAACATAAACCTGGGTCCATTGTACCTCTCCCTCTCATGAAAGCACTGTGATAACAGGATATAAGTCTCTTATTTTCCATATAACATATTAATCTTTCATTTATCATTCTCTAGATTATTTTACATAAGTTTGATGTTAATGCTATCGGGCAATAATTTTATGGTTTTGACTCATCTTTCCCTGATTTTAGGATTGTAATAATCACTACTTCCTTCCAACTCTTTGGCAATTCCCCATCCTCCCATATCCGGTTATACATTTCTGATAAAATATTTTTAGAAGATTCACTTAAATTACTAACCATAACAAATTTGATCTTTTCCTGGAGCTGATAACTTATATTTTTAAGTGCCCTATTCAGTTCTGTTATTGTAAACAACATATTCAATGGATCATTTGTTTCTCCCAGTTGCTGTAATACATTTCTGTTCCCTAAAATTGTCTTTTCTCTTCCTTTTTTTCCCTTCTTCACTACTATTTTCAGAACTATGAAGTTTAACAAAAGTATTTACCAACATTTTGGCCTTTTCTCTCTCAGTAACTGCTGTTATTTCTCCATCATTTAATAGTGGATATCCACTCACTCTTTTAATCCCATTCACTCTTTTAATTGTTGCACCTTTGAAATATATCTCTCCCTCCCTACTGAATTACAAAACCTCCACCAATAATCTATTTTTGTTTTACATTTTTAATAATTCTTCTTACTTTTGTTTGCAATTTCTTGTATTCATTCAGATTCTGAAAGTTGTGATTTCTTTTTCCTAATTTGAAAGCTTTATTTCGTTTCTTGATAACTTCAGTACATTCTGATGTCCGCCAGATCACTTCCTATAGTTGTTTTATTGATTACTGGCCATAAACTAACAGCTGCTAGAGAATTTGAAACTAATGTTATATCAATTGCTGACTCTGCATTATCTCTAAAGTTAATTCTGATTCCACTCCCATCATTTAGACATACCATATTTTTAACATCCATTATTTCTTCTATTATATCTCCATTTTGATCATTATGATGACTCCACAATGAGCTATGCCCATTAAAATCCCACACCACATGACTTTGCCCTCTAAATATACCCCAGGTTCCTTCATTAAATCTGTTGAAAGTCTTTTACATGGATTATAGAAGTTGATTATTTTAAATTGCCCATTTACTGTCCAAATTTCAATAACAATATATTTTAACTCTCTTCCTTTAGCCAATAGTCAAAATTGAATTCCCTTTTTATGAATGTTACATTCACTCCTCCTGACCCTCCCTCTCTGTCTCTTCTATTGCTTTCATATCCTTTTATAACAAAATCAAGATTTGGTCCAAGTCAAGTTTCCTGAATACAATACAATGTAATATCTAGATCTTCCTTAAATTCTCTAACAAATCCTTTAAACTCCTGTCCATTTGCAAAAAGGCTTCTAAGCATTCCACTGTAAGATGTAAGTTTTTGTCTTCCTGTTCTCCTGTCTTTCTGCCCCTAATCTCTTATTTATGTGGTCCCAAGATAAAACCTCTCCAACCCTTGCGAAGTTTAGCTCAAGATTGATCCGATTTATGAACGCTAGTGTCGGCCAGCCGTTCTCTACCGCTCCCTCCAAAATTTGCACAATAAAAAGTATTATGCACTTACTTTTTCTCTTTTCATAAAATGTGCTTGTACTGATGGACACTGTTTTTCTGAATGAGAAAAGCATTTGGTAACATTGAAAAGCCCTAAATGACCTCTGTAGGTAGCAAAATGAATTAATTCAGTAGTATACATTGGGTGGGAGATATTCAAGTTTACAAATGTCCTCCACAGAGGACAAATTTGAACTACTGGTCATCAGGAGAATATTGTAATGTCTTGTTCGCTATATTTATCTATACAAATATGTAAATATTTCCGTGTGTTTCTGTTGTGTTTATTTGAGTTTTCTGTGTCCTTAGTCTCCTCGTTGTCCTGTCTTCCCCTTGATTGCTTCCAGGTGTGTCTTGTTCCCTTGATTACCCTCAGTGTATTTAGTCCCTCCTGTGTCCTTTGTTCCTGGTTGGGTCCTTGTCGTATTTTGTCGTTGTTGTTATTTTGTTGCTGTTTAGCTGCCTGTTTGACAAGTGCTATCGGTGTGAGCCCTGGCTTCCGCTCAGCCGTGCTGCCTGGCCGCAGAGTGTTGACTGTTGTTCTGGACTGTTTTTGTTATTGAATCTACACCACTCACCTTACCTGGGCCTCCAGCGTCTGCCTCACCACCTCCACCACAGTGTCTGCCTCACCACCTCCACCACAGTGTCTGCCTCACCACCTCCACCACAGTGTCTGCCTCACCACCTCCACCACAGTGTCTGCCTCACCACCTCCACCACAGTGTCTGCCTCACCACCTCCACCACATATGACACAAGGACCCAACGAGGAACAAAGGACACAGGAGAGTTTAAAATACAGTGAGGGTAATCAAGGGAACAAGACACACCTGGGAATAGTTAAGGGGAAGACAGGACAACAAGGAGAACTCAGGACACAGAAAACTCAAAATCAAACACGTAAAAACACGGAACATGACAATTTACTATGGTGAAATTCTGGCACCCACAGCTGCTGGTACTTTGCTGCCAATCAGCAATTTTTTTTAGTTCAGATTTATTTCCTGTGAACAGACCGTTAACTACAATATAATTTTCTTTCAATTTCTCTTATTGTATTTGACCCTGATAGATTAATGTGACTGTCTAATTCTTTGACAATCCCCTCCCCCAAATGTTGTATTAGAAGAAAAAAAAAAAAAAAAAAACATTTTCCTAGCTGTGTTAATAGCTGAAATAGATTATAAATGCATCTTTAGTCATGGGCATCTTGGAAGCTAGTCTAATATGCAACTGCATTGGACAAAATTACCTTCGCTTACCATGTTAGGACAACAACAAAAAACCCCAAACTGGACATTCTTTCTCATTTTTTACAAGTTATCTGACCTATAACATTAGGCCTCAGTCAGATGTTTCAGTCATCTTGAAAAATGGTCGCCATATTGAGCTTTGCTATGGCCAGTAGTATGTCACATCACCATTGGAAATTGTTTCACTTATTTGCTTCACTAAGAGGGCTGTAATATCTTCAAGGTCTTATGCTATCAGTTGGTCTGCTGTAATTAGTCACATACCTGAAACACTTTCACATTCTAACAACAACCTTGTTTCCCCGGTCTATCTCTCGTGGTCAACGGGCTAAATGCGGGTGTGAGGATTTGGATTTTGTGGGTGTTTTTTATCTACAAGTTTGCTCCAGACATGTCCATTCTGGTGAGTGTCTAAATTCACTTTATTGTTGTTGTGTCATAATTTTTTGCAATGATTTTGTCCGGGTTACTCATGTTCAGTATGTTGAGTTCATTTAAGTGGCCAACCTTGTTTAGGTCGGACTTATATTTTTTATGTATAGTCAGAGTTCTGTCAGTGGACATCAAGGTTATTCCATTATTGTGAAGTAAACTATTTAAGTTTTCTAGTGTTATAATTTAAAGTATTAATACTGATGTGTGTTCTACAGAGGAGGAAAGCAAGTTGGAGAGGCTGAGGAGGAAAACGCCTGGAGAGGAGCTCAGCCAGGCTGCACATTCTGAAGAAAAACATGAACTATTTGTGTTGAAATATATGAAGTGGCTGTTTTCTCTCATTTCATAATTTAACATGGTAAACATTCATGAAATATTTGATTCAAGCACTTTAAGTTTCATATAAACAGGTGATGAATGAATCACATATTAAGTAAAAATTGGATATTTAAAATATTTCAGGTAATAAACATACATGTAATGAAAGACTATATTTTTAAATAAATATTTTATGTGATTAAAGTGAACGTAGACATTTTGTAGTAAACATTTAATGTAAACTATCAAACCAGATGAAAAAGCCCACCTTTAAACATTTAATGTGTAATTAAACAGTTCAGACTAAACAATAAAGGTGACAAGTAAATGCTCTGAAATAGATCACACTTTAAATATTTGTTGTGTCTAACATATTTCAGGTAAGAAGTGAACATGTAATGATCCTGTCCTAGAATTGTATGTTATTAATAGCATAAATTAACACTTTTTGTATCAGTTGGTCACAAGGCAAGGCATTTATTTACAGCAGCGTTTGGTTCAGAAATGTCTCCAAGTGAACCTCCGAGGGAGCGACAGAGAACAGCTGGCTGGAATTAGCGTTCATAAATCAGATCAACCTTAAGTTAAATGCCCATTACTCCAGAATAAACTTTGTTGTGGTCTGTGGCCTTTAAAAATGGCGCAGAGCAACTGCCCGAGACATAAACGTCAAATGCAATGACTTTGGTTCCAAAGCTCTATTACCTTCCCTGTGTATTTAAACCCACTTGTGTCTCTTGTTTCCTGTCAGATCCTTCAATAATAGCACTGGAATATTGTCCAGGTCTTCTGCTATCAGTAGGTCTGCTGCAATTAGTCACATGCATGAAACAAAACACACTTTTGTATCACATTGTAATGACTGGACATGCAGAAGCTGGCCTGCCCACGGTATTAGCATATGGCCAAGTAGATTGCGGTGCATTCCTAAGTCCAGCCTATTGTCCGGGGCGTACTTACCAAAGACGATAAATATGTGTGCTCATTCTTTCTTCATCACATACAAATGTCCATGTGAACTTGGAGACATTTGGTCCTTATTCACCAAAGTAACATTGTGAGAACCTAATATTTAAGTCATCTGAAATATTACACTCAAACACAAAAGCCGTAAAGATTGTTGGATTCCCGCCTCTCTGGCTGCAGTGGGCACTTGAAACACAGAGCAACAATCAAATGAGGTGTTTTATAAATGTTTCATTTTCGATGCGAGGAAAGAGCAAGACATGCAAAAAAACATCAAGGTTTTGCATTTTTTGAATGTCACCAGAAAATTAATATCGAATCATGTCTTTTTAATTTTTCAATCTTTAATTCTCAAATTAAAAAAAAACCTAACAATTAAATAACTGGTACATGGATCATCAATCTTTTCTGTGTTTTCGTCTTGATTCTCTCATCAAACATTCATAAAAGGCCTATCAAGCAGACATTATTTTATTTCTTTGCATGAAGCACTATTGGCATTCAGCAACAACCTCGCTTGTTTTCTTCTCTCTGAAAAACAGTCAAGAACACATACAGAAGTTAACTTGTCTAAAAAGTGGTCAGATTTTGTGATGACCTGTTTATGACTCAGATTTTTTTCTGTGCAGATATAGATAATGGTCACAGAAAGGTACAACAGGTTATTGGAAGATTACAAAAAAACAACGACATAACACATTTTCAAGAAAAACTGATTAGAAAAACAAAACACTTTTTTCAAATCTTCAGCCAAGATAACACATTATAATAAAAATATGAGGTTTTCAGAGATGAAGGATGATAAAGGTCAAGCTAAGATCCTTCTAGGCTCATCTAATGGAAGTCCACCAAAGAAAAAGACATATCCATATGTTTACAAATGGAGAGAAACACAGCATACATGACAGTTAAATGAGAAAAAGAAGCCTAATTATGGTAATTAGCTAAACATGCAATTTTAGCTAATTTCACACATCAAGTTCAGGCCTTGAACTTACTTGGAAGAACATGGTGCACTTTTTGTTATCCTTCATTTTAAGAGTAAACAATGTAACAACCCTGAAAAGACTACATGTTGGAGGAACTGAATGTTCCAGTAGGACCTGTTCATATCACCTGAGATATGAACAGGCCCGAGATCGCGCCCTACTGGTCAGAGCTGATAATGGATCTAAACTTGTGCTATTTCACTGTGGTCTATGAAGCACGTGGGCATGCAGACTGTTTTCACAAATATTTGTGAAAGAATGGGTCACTCTGTGAACTGTGATGTCACCTGTGCAACAAATCCAGTCGTTAAAATTTCCTCGCTCCTAAATATTCCACAGTCAGCTGTGTTATGAGGAAACGGAAGTGTTTGGGAACGACAGCAACTCATTCACAAAGTGGTCGGCCATGTAAACTGACAGAGCGAGGTCAGCAGATGCTGAAGAGCACAGAAGACATCACCAACTTTCTGCTGGAGGTCACTATAGACCTCCAGACTTCATGTCATTAGCTCAGGAACAGTCTACAGAGAGATTTATGGAATGGGTTTCCATGGTGGCCAGCTGCATCTTAGCCATACCTCACCAAGTGCAATGCAAAGCATTGGATGCCGTGTTGTAAAGCACGCCGGCACTGGACTCTTGAGCAGTGGAGGAGCGTTCTCTGAAGTTACGAATCACGCTTCTCCCTCTGGCAATCTGATGAACGAGTCTGGGTTTGGCGGTTGCCAGGACGACGGTACTTGTCAGACTATTGTGCTGAGTGTGAAGTTTGGTGGTGGGTGGATTATGGTGTGGGGTTGTTTTCAGGAGCTGGGATTGGTCCCTTAGTTCCAATGAAAGGAACTCTGAATGCTTCAGCAACATTTTAGACAATCCTATGCTCCCAACTTTGTGAAAACAGTTTCATTGGACCCTTCGTCTTCCATATGACTGTGCATCAGATCACGAAGTAAGGTCCATAAAGACATGGATCTTGCCATAAAGACATGGAAAGACTCTGCCAGTCTTTCCACACCAGACTGGCAGAGTCTGTTGTGGATGCACTTGACTGGCCTGCACAGAGTCCTGATCCCAACCTGATAGAACACCTTTGGAATGAATTAGAGAGGAGACAGAGAGCCAGGCCTTCTAGTCCAACATCAGTATGTGACCTCACAAATACGCTTCTGGAAGAATGGTGAAAAAACCCCATAGACAGCCTTCAACTCTTTCTGGGACTGCCTTCCCAGAAGAGTTGAAGCTGTTCTAGTTGCAAAGTGTAGAACTTCAATGTCCTATAGAACTCTATGGATTAGGAATGGAAATGACTTACATTACTGTTAAGCAACATGTCAGTGCAAAAAAAAAAAAAAAAAAAAAGATTGGATATTATTTATTTCTTCTTCTTTTTTTTTACCAGTTATGTGATCCATAAGACTTGACCTCAGTCAGATGTGTCAGCCATCTTGACAAATGGTTTGCCATATTGAATTTTGCCATCCCCAACAGTAGATACATGTTGCAAATTTTATGCTTGCATCACAAATGGAAAGATTGTTTCACCTATTTTCTTCAATAATAGCACTGGAATATTGTCAAGGTCTTCTGCTATCAGTAGGTCTGCTGCAATTAGTCACATGCATGAAACAAAACACACTTTTGTATCACTTTGTAATGACTGGACATGCAGAAGCTGGCCTGCCCACGGTATTAGCATATGGCCAAGTAGATTGCGGCGTATTCCTAAGTCCAGCCTATTGTCCGGGGCGTACTTACCAAAGAAGATAAATATGTAATGTACTCTGATTTCTGGGCTCTTTCTGTGGTAACACTGCATAAAAGGCTCAGTGCTGTACAACTTTACATGTGGTCAAGAATAAATTAGTCTCTGGCTTGCTACTGACTCCAGCTCCTTTCCTTGGGCTCCCAACAGAAGAGCTGAGTGATAGAAAAAGCTAACAATTACCTGAACCGAAGGTATTTGTACAATATTTTTTCTGAAGCTAATCAATAACAGGGCATGCTATCAACTGTAGAATATGTTTATTTTAACAGCTCTTCAACAACAAAAGCTCATCTTTTTAGAGACATGAAAGCTGTGATTGGACTGCAGTTGATGCTGATAGGAGTCTGTTGTGGTGAGCTCTTCATGATTTTTTTCACATAACACCTTATTGACTGTGTGGTTGTTTTGTCTGGATTTCTCATACATTCTACATTGTGAAATCTCTTAATGACACATTGTTTAATATTTTCTACGTTGATTCATTTTTAATGCCTTGGATTTCAAGGATATTCTTAAAGTTTTCTTCTTAAACCAAAATCAAAGTCTTCATTTGCTGTGTCTGCATTGGGTCATGCCTCTGATATTATCAGACACACACATCATTACTGTGTGGATGATAATCATATCTTATTGATAATAAAGTTTTTGTTGTCAAATTAAGTTAGTACACACTTTGTTAGCATTAATGTCAAATTAATGTATTTGTCGTTTTTAATTAGGTATCTGTAGTTTTTTTTTTGGCATGAAATGATTATAGAAAAAGCAGAAATGCAACCACTACTGATAACAATAGCAGTCAAAGTAGGAATAACTGACAACCATCTGCCATGGGCAGCTGAGGTTTTGAGAAGACAGAGCAGAAAACACAAGAAAAAACAAACAAACTGATGTTGGATTATTTCAGTGTTCATGACAGTAAAAAGTTGATAGCAGAAGATAGAAAACTTTGGCTATTATCTGCATTTCTCAGCAGATGTCCTCCTCCAGGAAGGACTTACAGCTCAGATTTCTCATATCATAGGAGAATGTTTTGGATTAGCTCAATTTCGTGGACTCACTGATAGTAAGGAACTACAGCTGTCCTGCGTTTAAAAAACAAAAGTTTTCAGCAAGGACAATCATTTTTGGCAATTTGACATCACTGGTGCAGGACTGTAGGGACTGTTTAATTTAGAATGAGAATCAGAATTCCATTTAATGTAGTTGCCCACGAATAAAGCACAATGAAATTTAAATATAGCAATTCTTGAACAAACATATACAACTGGTGTGTTAAGAATAAATTAATGAAGGTTTTAGATGGATTAGCTGTGTTCAGTCCAACAACAGCTCTTAAGTAGAAACTGTTGTTTAGTCTTATTGCCCTAAAATGCCACAGTGAGACACTCTGGCTTAACACCATCAAATTTTTAATTGATTACATTTCAAATACAATTCTAAACAGGTGCGTTTTAGTCTAGATTTAAAGGATTTCAGTGTTTCAGCTGTTTTACAGTTTTCTGGAAGTGTGTTCCAAATTTTTGGTGCATAGATGCTGAAAGCTGCTTCTCCTCATTTGGTTCAACTGAACAGTCATCAGCTGGCTGAAAAAACTGTTTTTTGATTCAAGGTTAAGTCTTGCTGTTGTGGGGTTTTAAAAATGATTTCATGCAAATAAATTTTCCTTCCTGTTTTTCTAATTTTCTAAGGTATGGAATCTTCCTGCGATGCCAGAAAGAAGGAAGTTCGTTGTTATGGAGCCTTAGGAGGAACAGTGAACCTTCGGATAATGGATAAGGCCACAAAACTATCTAAATTCATTTGGGCAAAGAAACGCTCACAGTTATTCCACTGGCTGTCCCACATGATTGTAGCTCGTACAAAGGACAATAGATTTAGCTTTTTTCCACATAATGGAACAGTTAAGATCACTAACCTTAGAAGGCACGACAGCGGTTTATATCAACTTATGTTAAAGAAGGGTAGAAAGTACAAAGTTACAAGAATTCTGAAGCTGTTTATTGAAGGTATGTTGATCTTCCGATATTTTCTTCTTATTTTTATTTTCTTCTCATACATTAATAGCAGTTATAAAAATCTAACATTGTATTTCATCCATAGAATGTGAAATAAGACTGTCATGTCTGTTCTGTCAATTGTATTTTAACTTAACATTTGAAAAATACTCCTGTGGTTTATCTCTCAGTTCCTGTGTCATCTCTCTGGGTAGTCTCTAAATGTACGTCCTCTGGAAAGCAGAGGGTGTTCTGCTTTCCTGAGGAAGGGGACAATCATTTCTGCAAGTGGACTATGGATGGAAAACCTCTGAAAAACTTTAAGTACTTATCTAGATATAAGAAGAAAAACTCTAAGTTCTTTTCTGGACATGCTAAAACTTGCACCATTCTTCTGGAACCAAAGGAAATAGGTCATCTCGGCTGCTCACTCAGGAATCACATAAGTCATTCCTTCAAAGAGAAAAATATAATCAGCTGTGGTGAGTAAAACCATCATATTAAATGAAACAACCTGTTTGTTCATATATGTCAGCTTTATTTCTAAAAGCTTCCCACCTGAGTGATATTTAATCAAAACCATTTTGGGTACATGGACAATCAACAGCTGGTAAAAAAGGGACCAAATTGGAAAAGGAAAAAACCAAGATTTTGAAAAATGGATGTCTTAATAATTCATCGTCGACTCAGTGTACAAAAAACAAAGATGGAGCTAAAATTACAACACTCCCACCAAAACTGGTAAGTCAGAAGTCATCAGTAACAGCCACAGGTTTTACAGCACTTTGATCATGACCCATTTTATGTAAAATAAAAAAAATTATAAATCGAAATTTAACAGTCTGTTAATCCTTCATTGTCTACTCAGACTCCAAAAGAGAAGGATGGGGCAAAAAATTCAACAGTCCTGCCAAAATTGGTGAGTCACCTTCACTGGTTTTACAGCACTTTCATCATGAACCCAATTTAGTAAAATTACAAAACTGGTCAATGAAATGTTTTCCCATTTGAATTTATAAATACTTCATTGTCTACTCAGTTTCCAAAAGAGAAAGATGAGGCTAAAAATCATACAGTACAACTAACACTGGTAAGTGAGAAGTCATCTACACATGCCCCAGGTTGTACAGCACCTTAATCACGACCAGATCTTTGTGAAATTACAAAACTGGTCAATGACATGTTTTCCAATTAAGAAACTTATAATTCTTTATTGTCAACTCAGTCTCCAAAAGAGAAGGATGGGGTTAAAAAACCAACAGTCCCACCAACACTGGTAAGAAAGAAGTAATCGAAACCTGACCCAGGTTTTAAAGCACCTTAACACGAATCAATTTTTGTAAAATTAGAAAATTTCCAAGTCAAATGTTTTCTCATTATGAATTTAATAGCTGCCCGAGCCTGGATCTTTGTCTAAGTTCGTCTGAACGTAAAGGTTAGCCTGTGTACGAATGTGCTAATTTAAAACCATATTTCAACACTACTCAGTCTCCAGAAGAAAAGGATGGGGCTAAAATACGACCAGTCTCACCAACACTGGTAAGTGAGAAGTCATGTTTTACAGCACCTTAATCATGACCCAATTTTTGAAAAATTACAAAATTTACAAGTCAAATAATTTGCCATGAAGAATTTGATAATCGTTCTCTTTCTACTCAGTCTCCAGAAAGGAAAGGTGGGTCAAAAAAACCAACAGTCCCACCAACACTGGTAAGTGAGAAGTCATCTACACCTGCCCCATGTTTTACAACACTTTAATAATGACTCAAACTTTGTGAAATTATAAAAGGGGACAATTAAATATTTACCAATTTAGAAACTTATAATCCTTATCTGTCTACTCAGTCTCCAGAAGGGAAAGTTGGGTCTAAAAAACCAACAGTCTCACCAACACTGGTAAGTGAGATGTCATCTGCAGCTGCCACAACTTTTACAGCACCTTAATCTCGACCCAATTTTCGTAAAATTACAAAATGTACATGTCAACAGAATTTAATAATCCTTCTTTTTCTACTTAGTCTCCAGAAGGGAAAGATGGGGCTAAAAAACAAACAGTCTCACCAACATTGGTAAGTGGGTGGTCACCTACACTTGCCCCATGTTTTACAGCACTTTAATAACGACTCAAACTGTGTGACATTACAAAAGTGGTCAATTGAATATTTACCAACTTAGAAACTGAATATCCTTCTTTGTGTACTCAGTCTCCAGAAGAAAAAGATGGGAATAAAAAACCAAAAGTCCAACCAACACTGGTAAGTGAGAAGTCATCTGCACCGGCCACAAGTTTTACAGCACCTTAATCATGCCCCAATTTTTGTACATGTACAATATTTACAGGTCAAATGTTTTCGATTTACAAAATTTTAAAAGTTCATTGTCTACTCAGTCTCCAGAAGAGAAGGATGGGGCTAAAATACGACCAGTCCCACCAACACTGGTAAGTGAGTCGTCATCGACCGCTGCCCAAGGTTTTACAGCACCTTAATCTCGACCCAATTTTTGTAAAATTACAAAATGTACATGTCAAATGTTTTCCCTTTAAGCATTTAATAAGCATTCTTTGTCTTCTCAGTCTCCAGAAGAAAAGGATGGGGCTAAAAAACCAACAGTCCCACTAACATTGGTAAGTGAGAAGGCATTTACACTTTCCCCAGGTTTTACAACACTTTAATAACAACCCAAACTTTGTGAAATTACAAAAGTGGACAATTAAATGTTTACCTATATAGAAACTTATAATCCTTCTTTGTCTTCTCAGTCTCCAGAAGAAAAGGATGGGGCTAAAAAACCAACAGTCCCACTAACATTGGTAAGTGAGAAGTCATCTGCACCTGCCTCAAGTTTTATAGCACCTTAATCTCAACCCAATTTTTGTAAAATTACAAAATTTACAAGTCAAATGATTTCCCATGAAGAATTTAATAATCCTTCTCTTTCTATTCAGTCTCCAGATGGGAAAGTTGGGTCTAAAAAACCAACAGTCCCACCAACATTGGTAAGTGGGAAGTCATCTACAATTTCCCCATGTTTTACAACACTTTAATAACAACCCAAACTTTATGAAATTACAAAAGTGGACAATTAAATGTTTACCCATATAGAAACTTATAATCCTTTGTTGTCTACTCAGTCTCCAGAAGGGAAGGATGGGGCTAAAATACCACCAGTCTCACCAACACTGGTAAGTGAGAAGTCATCAACACCTGCCCCGTGTTTTGACAGCACTTTAATAAGGACCCAAACTTTGTGAAATTACAAAAGTGGACAATTAAATGTTTACCCACATAGAAACTTATAATCCTTCTTTGTCTACTCAGTTTCCAGAAGGGAAGGATGGGGGTAAAAAACCAACAGTCCCACCAACACTGGTAAGTGAGATGTCATCAACACCTGCCACATGTTTTACAGCACCTTAATCACACCCCAATTTTTGTACATGTACAATATTTACAGGTCAAATGTTTTTTGATTTACAATATTTTAAAAGTTCATTGTCTACTCAGTCTCCAGAAGAGAAGGATGTGGCTAAAAAACCACCAGTCTCACCAACACTAGTAAGTGAGAAGTCATCTGCACCTGCCTCAAGTTTACAGTACCTTAATCTCAACCCAATTTTTGTAAAATTACAAAATTGTCAACTGTTTTCCCATTAAGCATTTAATAATCATTCTTTGTCTACTCAGTCTCCAGAAGGGAAGGATGGGGCTAAAAAACCACCAGTCTCACCAACACTGGTAAGTGAGAAGGCATTTACACTTTCCCCAGGTTTTACAACACTTTAATAACAACCCAAACTTTTTGAACTTACAAAAGTGTACAATTAAATGTTAACCTATATAGAAACTTATAATCCTTCTTTTTCTACTCAGTCTCCAGAAGAGAAGGATGGAAATAAAAAACCAAAAGTCCAACCAACACTGGTAAGTGAGAAGTCATCTACACCTGCCACAAGTTTTACAGCATCTTAATCATGACCCAATTTCTGTAAAATTACAAAATTTACAAGTCAAATGATTTCCCTTTAAGCATTTAATAAGCATTCTATGTCTTCTCAGTCTCCAGAAGAAAAGGATGGGGCTAAAAACCAACAGTCCCACTAACACTGGTAAGTGGGAAGTCATCTACACTTGCCCCATGTTTTACAGCACTTTAATAACGACTCAAACTTTGTGACATTACAAAAGTGGACAATCAAATATTTACCAACTTAGAATCTTAATATCCTTCTTTGTGTACTCAGTCTCCAGAAGAAAAGGATGGGAATAAAAAACCAAAAGTCCAACCAACACTGGTAAGTGAGAAGTCATCTGCACCGGCCACAAGTTTTACAGCACTTCAATCACGCCAGAATTTTTGTACATGTACAATATTTACAGGTCAAATGTTTTCGATTTACAAAATTTTAAAAATTCATTGTCTACTCAGTCTCCAGAAGAGAAGGATGGGGCTAAAATACGACCAGTCCCACCAACACTGGTAAGTGAGTCGTCATCGACCGCTGCCCAAGGTTTTACAGCACCTTAATCTCGACAAAATTTTTTTAAAATTACAAAATGTACATGTCAAATGTTTTCCCTTTAAGCATTTAATAAGCATTCTTTGTCTTCTCAGTCTCCAGAAGAAAAGGATGGGGCTAAAAAACCAACAGTCCCACTAACATTGGTAAGTGAGAAGTCATCTACACCTGGCCCAGGTTTTAGAGCACCTCATTTATGACCCAATTGTGGTACATTTATAATATTTACAGGTCAAATGTTTTCCGATTTACATTATTTTAAATGTTCATTGTCTACTCAGTCTCCAGAAGGGAAGGATGGGGCTAAAAAACCACCAGTCTCACCAACACTGGTAAGTGAGAAGTCATCTGCACCTGGCTCAAGTTTGCAGAGTGGACAATTAAATGTTTACCCATATAGAAACTTATAATCCTTCTTTGTCTACTCAGTCTCCAGAAGAGAAGGATGGGGCTAAAATACCACCAGTCTCACCAACACTGGTATGTAAGAAGTCATCTGCACCTGCCACACGTTTTACAGCACTTGAATAACGACTCAAACTTCGTTACATTACAAAAGTGGACAATTAAATATTTTCCGATTTAGAAACTTAATATCCTTCTTTGTCTACTCAGTCTCCAGAAGAAAAGGATGGGAATAAAAAACAAAAGTCCAACCAACACTGGTAAGTTAGAAGTCATCTGCACCGGCCACAAGTTTTACAGCACCTCAATCACGCCCCAATTTTTGTAAAATTACAAAATGTACATGTCAACTGTTTTCCCATTAAGAATTTAATAATCCTTGTCTTTCTACTCAGTCTCCAGAAGGGAAAGTTGGGTCTAAAAAACCTACTGTCCCACTAACACTGGTAAGTGAGAAGTCATCTACACTTGCCCCAGGTTTTAGAGCACCTCATTTATGACCCAATTGTGGTACATTTATAATATTTACAGGTCAAATGTTTTCCGATTTACATTGTTTTAAATGTTCACTGTCTACTCAGTCTCCAGAAGATAAGAATGGGGCTAAAATTCCACCAGTCCCACCAACACTGGTAAGTGAGTCGTCATCGACCCCTGCCCAAGGTTTTACAGCACCTTAATCATAACCCAATTTTTGTAAAATTACAAAATTTACAAGTCAAACGATTTCCCATTAAGAATTTAATAATCCTTCTTTTTCTACTTAGTCTCCAGAAGAGAAAGATGGGGCTAAAAAACCAACAGTCTCAGCAACACTGGTAAGTGAGAAGTCATCTACACCAGTCCCATGTTTTACAGTACCTTAATCTCGACCCAATTTTTTAAAAATTAGAAAATGTACATGTCAACTATTTTCCCATTAAGCATTTAATAATCCTTGTCTTTCTACTCAGTCTCCAGAAGGGAAAGATCGGTCTAAAAAACCAACAGTCCAACCAACACTGGTAAGTGAGAAGTCATCAACACCAGCCCTACACTTTAGAGCACCTTATTTATGACCCAATTTTGTTACATTTATAATATTTACAGGTCAAATGTTTTCTGATTTACATTGTTTTAAATGTTCATTGTCTACTCAGTCTCCAGAAGGGAAGGAAGGGGCTAAAAATCCACCAGTCTCACCAACACTGGTAAGTGAGAAGTCATCTACCACTGGCCCATGTTTTTCAGTACTTTAATCATGACCAAATTGTGGTACAGTTATAATATTTACAGGTCAATTGTTTTCTGATTTACACTGTTTTAAATGGTCATTGTCTACTCAGTCTCCAGAAGAGAAGGATGGGGCTAAAATACCACCAGTCTCACCAACACTGGTAAGTGAGAAGTCATCAACACCTGCCACAAGTTTTACAGCATCTTAATCATGACCCAATTTCTGTAAAATTACAAAATTTACAAGTCAAATGATTTCCCTTTAAGCATTTAATAAGCATTCTATGTCTTCTCAGTCTCCAGAAGAAAAGGATGGGGCTAAAAAACCAACAGTCCCACTAACACTGGTAAGTGGGAAGTCATCTACACTTGCCCCATGTTTTACAGCACTTTAATAACGACTCAAACTTTGTGACATTACAAAAGTGGACAATCAAATATTTACCAACTTAGAATCTTCATATCCTTCTTTGTGTACTCAGTCTCCAGAAGAAAAGGATGGGAATAAAAAACCAAAAGTCCAACCAACACTGGTAAGTTAGAAGTCATCTGCACCGGCCACAAGTTTTACAGCACCTCAATCACGCCCCAATTTTTGTAAAATTACAAAATGTACATGTCAACTGTTTTCCCATTAAGAATTTAATAATCCTTGTCTTTCTACTCAGTCTCCAGAAGGGAAAGTTGGGTCTAAAAAACCCACTGTCCCACTAACACTGGTAAGTGAGAAATCATCTGCACCGGCCACAAGTTTTACAGCACTTCAATCACGCCAGAATTTTTGTACATGTACAATATTTACAGGTCAAATGTTTTTCGATTTACAAAATTTTAAAAATTCATTGTCTACTCAGTCTCCAGAAGAGAAGGATGGGGCTAAAATACGACCAGTCCCACCAACACTGGTAAGTGAGTCGTCATCGACCGCTGCCCAAGGTTTTACAGCACCTTAATCTCGACAAAATTTTTTTAAAATTACAAAATGTACATGTCAAATTTTCCCTTTAAGCATTTAATAAGCATTCTTTGTCTTCTCAGTCTCCAGAAGAAAAGGATGGGGCTAAAAAACCAACAGTCCCACTAACATTGGTAAGTGAGAAGTTCTACCCTGGCCCAGGTTTTAGAGCACCTCATTTATGACCCAATTGTGGTACATTTATAATATTTACAGGTAAAATGTTTCCGATTTACATTATTTTAAATGTTCATTGTCTACTCAGTCTCCAGAAGGGAAGGAAGGGGCTAAAAAACCACCAGTCTCACCAACACTGGTAAGTGAGAAGTCATCTACCGCTGGCCCATGTTTTTCAGTACTTTAATCATGACCAAATTGTGGTACAGTTATAATATTTACAGGTCAATTGTTTTCTGATTTACACTGTTTTAAATGGTCATTGTCTACTCAGTCTCCAGAAGAGAAGGATGGGGCTAAAATACCACCAGTCTCACCAACACTGGTAAGTGAGAAGTCATCTACACCTGCCACACGTTTTACAGCATCTTAATCATGACCCAATTTCTGTAAAATTACAAAATTTACAAGTCAAATAATTTCCCTTTAAGCATTTAATAAGCATTCTATGTCTTCTCAGTCTCCAGAAGAAAAGGATGGGGCTAAAAAACCAACAGTCCCACTAACACTGGTAAGTGGGAAGTCATCTACACTTGCCCCATGTTTTACAGCACTTTAATAACGACTCAAACTTTGTGACATTACAAAAGTGGACAATCAAATATTTACCAACTTAGAATCTTAATATCCTTCTTTGTGTACTCAGTCTCCAGAAGAAAGGATGGGAATAAAAAACCAAAAGTCCAACCAACACTGGTAAGTGAGAAGTCATCTGAACTGGCCACAAGTTTTACAGCACTTCAATCACGCCAGAATTTTTGTACATGTACAATATTTACAGGTCAAATGTTTTTCGATTTACAAAATTTTAAAATTCATTATCTACTCAGTCTCCAGAAGAGAAGGATGGGGCTAAAATACGACCAGTCCCACCAACACTGGTAAGTGAGTCGTCATCGACGCTGCCCAAGGTTTTACAGCACCTTAATCTCGACAAAAAATTTTTAAAATTACAAAATGTACATGTCAAATGTTTTCCCTTTAAGCATTTAATAAGCATTCTTTGTCTTCTCAGTCTCCAGAAGAAAAGGATGGGGCTAAAAAACCAACAGTCCCACTAACATTGGTAAGTGAGAAATCATCTACACTTGCCCCAGGTTTTAGAGCACCTCATTTATGACCCAATTGTGGTACATTTATAATATTTACAGGTCAAATGTTTTCCGATTTACATTATTTTAAATGTTCATTGTCTACTCAGTCTCCAGAAGGGAAGGATGGGGCTAAAAAACCACCAGTCTCACCAACACTGGTAAGTGAGAAGTCATCTGCACCTGGCTCAAGTTTGCAGAGTGGACAATTAAATGTTTACCCATATAGAAACTTATAATCCTTCTTTGTCTACTCAGTCTCCAGAAGAGAAGGATGGGGCTAAAATACCACCAGTCTCACCAACACTGGTATGTAAGAAGTCATCTGCACCTGCCACGTTTTACAGCACTTGAATAACGACTCAAACTTCGTTACATTAAAAAGTGGACAATTAAATATTTTCCGATTTAGAAACTTAATATCCTTCTTTGTCTACTCAGTCTCCAGAAGAAAAGGATGGGAATAAAAAACCAAAAGTCCAACCAACACTGGTAAGTTAGAAGTCATCTGCACCGGCCACAAGTTTTACAGCACCTCAATCACGCCCCAATTTTGTAAAATTACAAAATGTACATGTCAACTGTTTTCCCATTAAGAATTTAATAATCCTTGTCTTTCTACTCAGTCTCCAGAAGGGAAAGTTGGGTCTAAAAAACCAACAGTCCCACAAACACTGGTAAGTGAGAAATCATCTACACTTGCCCCAGGTTTTAGAGCACCTCATTTATGACCCAATTGTGGTACATTTATAATATTTACAGGTCAAATGTTTTCCGATTTACATTGTTTTAAATGTTCACTGTCTACTCAGTCTCCAGAAGAGAAGAATGGGGCTAAAATTCCACCAGTCCCACCAACACTGGTAAGTGAGTCGTCATCGCCTGACCCCACAGCACCTTAATCATAACCCAATTTTTGTAAAATTACAAAATTTACAAGTCAAACGATTTCCCATTAAGAATTTAATAATCCTTCTTTTTCTACTTAGTCTCCAGAAGAGAAAGATGGGGCTAAAAAACCAACAGTCTCAGCAACACTGGTAAGTGAGAAGTCATCTACACCAGTCCCATGTTTTACAGTACCTTAATCTCGACCCAATTTTTTTAAAATTAGAAAATGTACATGTCAACTGTTTTCCCATTAAGCATTTAATAATCCTTGTCTTTCTACTCAGTCTCCAGAAGGGAAAGATCGGTCTAAAAAACCAACAGTCCAACCAACACTGGTAAGTGAGAAGTCATCTGCACCTGCCTCAAGTTTACAGTACCTTAATCTCAACCCAATTTTGTAAATTACAAAATTGTCAACTGTTTTCCCATTAAGCATTTAATAATCATTCTTTGTCTACTCAGTCTCCGGAAGGGAAGGATGGGGCTAAAATACCACGGTCTCACCAACACTGGTAAGTGAGAAATCATCTACACTTCCTCCATGTTTTACAGCACTTGAATTAAGACTCAAGCTTTGTGACATTACAAAAGTGGACAACAAAATATTTTCCAATTTAGAATCTTAATATCCTTCTTTGTCTACTCAGTCTCCAGAAGAGAAGGATGGAAATAAAAAACCAAAAGTCCAACCAACACTGGTAAGTGAGAAGTCATCAACACCTGCCCGTTTTGACAGGACTTTAATAAGGACCCAAACTTTGTGAAATTACAAAAGTGGACAATTAAATGTTTACCCACATAGAAACTTATAATCCTTCTTTGTCTACTCAGTTTCCAGAAGGGAAGGATGGGGGTAAAAAACCACCAGTCTCACCAACACTGGTAAGTGAGAAGTCATCTGCACCGGCCACAAGTTTACAGTACCTTAATCTCAACCCAATTTTTGTAAAATTACAAAATTGTCAACTGTTGTCCATTAAGCATTTAATAATCATTCTTTGTCTACTCAGTCTCCAGAAGGGAAGGATGGGGCTAAAAAACCACCAGTCTCACCAACACTGGTAAGTGAGAAGGCATTTACACTTTCCCCAGGTTTTACAACACTTTAATAACAACCCAAACTTTTTGAACTTACAAAAGTGTACAATTAAATGTTTACCTATATAGAAACTTATAATCCTTCTTTGTCTACTCAGTCTGCAGAAGAGAAGGATGGAAATAAAAAACCAAAAGTCCAACCAACACTGGTAAGTGAGAAGTCATCTGCACCTGCCACAAGTCTTACAGCACCTTAATCTCGACCCAATTTTTGTAATATTAGAAAACGTGAATGTCAACTGTTTTCCCATTAAGCATTTAATAATCCTTCTTTGTCTACTCAGTCTCCAGAAGAGAAGGATGGGGCTAAAATACCACCAGTCTCACCAACACTGGTAAGTGAGAAGTCATCTACACCTGCAACAAGTTTTACAGCATCTTAATCATGACCCAATTTCTGTAAAATTACAAAATTTACAAGTCAAATGATTTCCCTTTAAGCATTTAATAAGCATTCTTTGTCTTCTCAGTCTCCAGAAGAAAGGATGGGGCTAAAAAACCAACAGTCCCACTAACACTGGTAAGTGGGAAGTCATCTACACTTGCCCCATGTTTTACAGCACTTTAATAACGACTCAAACTTTGTGACATTACAAAAGTGGACAATCAAATATTTACCAACTTAGAATCTTAATATCCTTCTTTGTGTACTCAGTCTCCAGAAGAAAAGGATGGGAAAAAACCAAAAGTCCAACCAACACTGGTAAGTGAGAAGTCATCTGCACCGCCCACAAGTTTTACAGCACTTCAATCACGCCAGAATTTTTGTAAATGTACAATATTTACAGGTCAAATGTTTTTCGATTTACAAAATTTTAAAAATTCATTGTCTTCTCAGTCTCCAGAAGAGAAGGATGGGGCTAAAATACGACCAGTCCCACCAACACTGGTAAGTGAGTCGTCATCGACCGCTGCCCAAGGTTTTACAGCACCTTAATCTCGACAAAATTTTTGTAAAATTACAAAATGTACATGTCAAATGTTTTCTCTTTAAGCATTTAATAAGCATTCTTTGTTCTCAGTCTCCAGAAGAAAAGGATGGGGCTAAAAAACCAACAATCCACTAACACTGGTAAGTGAGAAGTCATCTACACCTGGCCCAGGTTTTAGAGCACCTCATTTATGACCCAATTGTGGTACATTTATAATATTTACAGGTCAAATGTTTTCCGATTTACATTGTTTTAAATGTTCATTGTCTACTCAGTCTCCAGAAGGGAAGGATGGGGCTAAAAAACCACCAGTTTCACCAACACTGGTATGTAAGAAGTCATCTGCACCTGCCACACGTTTTACAGCACTTGAATAACGACTCAAATTTCGTTACATTACAAAAGTGGACAATTAAATATTTTCCGATTTAGAAACCTAATATCCTTCTTTGTCTACTCAGTCTCCAGAAGAAAAGGATGGGAATAAAAAACCAAAAGTCCAACCAACACTGGTAAGTTAGAAGTCATCTGCACCGGCCACAAGTTTTACAGCACCTCAATCACGCCCCAATTTTTGTAAAATTACAAAATGTACATGTCAACTGTTTTCCCATTAAGAATTTAATAATCCTTGTCTTTCTACTCAGTCTCCAGAAGGGAAAGTTGGGTCTAAAAACCTACTGTCCCACAAACACTGGTAAGTGAGAAGGCATCTACACTTGCCCCAGGTTTTAGAGCACCTCATTTATGACCCAATTGTGGTACATTTATAATATTTACAGGTCAAATGTTTTCCGATTTACATTGTTTTAAATGTTCACTGTCTACTCAGTCTCCAGAAGAGAAGAATGGGGCTAAAATTCCACCAGTCCCACCAACACTGGTAAGTGAGTCGTCATCGACCCTGCCCAAGGTTTTACAGCACCTTAATCATAACCCAATTTTTGTAAAATTACAAAATTTACAAGTCAAATGATTTCCCATTAAGAATTTAATAATCCTTCTTTTTCTACTTAGTCTCCAGAAGAGAAAGATGGGGCTAAAAAACCAACAGTCTCAGCAACACTGGTAAGTGAGAAGTCATCTACACCAGTCCCATGTTTTGCAGTACCTTAACCTCAACCCAATTTTTTTAAAATTAAAAAATGTACATGTCAACTGTAAGTGAGAAGTCATCTGCACCAGTCCCATGTTTTACAGTACCTTAATCTCGACCCACTTTTTTTAAAATTAGAAAATGTACATGTCAACTGATTATTAAGCATTTAATAATCCTTGTCTTTCTACTCAGTCTCCAGAAGGGAAAGATCGGTCTAAAAAACCAACAGTCCAACCAACACTGGTAAGTGAGAAGTCATCTGCACCTGCCTCAAGTCTACAGCACCTTAATCTCAACCCAATTTTTGTAAAATTACAAAATTGTCAACTGTTTTCCCATTAAGCATTTAATAATCATTCTTTGTCTACTCAGTCTCCAGAAGGGAAGGATGGGGCTAAAATACCACCAGTCTCACCAACACTGGTAAGTGAGAAATCATCTACACTTCCTCCATGTTTTACAGCACTTGAATTAAGACTCAAGCTTTGTGACATTACAAAAGTGGACAACAAAATATTTTCCAATTTAGAATCTTAATATCCTTCTTTGTCTACTCAGTCTCCAGAAGAGAAGGATGGAAATAAAAAACCAAAAGTCCAACCAACACTGGTAAGTGAGAAGTCATCAACACCTGCCCCGTGTTTTGACAGCACTTTAATAAGGACCCAAACTTTGTGAAATTACAAAAGTGGACAATTAAATGTTTACCCACATAGAAACTTATAATCCTTCTTTGTCTACTCAGTCTCCAGAAGAGAAGGATGGGGCTAAAATACCACCAGTCTCACCAACACTGGTAAGTGAGAAGTCATCTGCACCTGCCTCAAGTTTACAGTACCTTAATCTCAACCCAATTTTTGTAAAATTACAAAATTGTCAACTGTTGTCCCATTAAGCATTTAATAATCATTCTTTGTCTACTCAGTCTCCAGAAGGGAAGGATGGGGCTAAAAAACCACCAGTCTCACCAACACTGGTAAGTGAGAAGGCATTTACACTTTCCCCAGGTTTTACAACACTTTAATAACAACCCAAACTTTTTGAACTTACAAAAGTGTACAATTAAATGTTTACCTATATAGAAACTTATAATCCTTCTTTGTCTACTCAGTCTGCAGAAGAGAAGGATGGAAATAAAAAACCAAAAGTCCAACCAACACTGGTAAGTGAGAAGTCATCTGCACCTGCCACAAGTTTTACAGCACCTTAATCTCGACCCAATTTTTGTAATATTAGAAAACGTGAATGTCAACTGTTTTCCCATTAAGCATTTAATAATCCTTCTTTGTCTACTCAGTCTCCAGAAGAGAAGGATGGGGCTAAAATACCACCAGTCTCACCAACACTGGTAAGTGAGAAGTCATCTACACCTGCAACAAGTTTTACAGCATCTTAATCATGACCCAATTTCTGTAAAATTACAAAATTTACAAGTCAAATGATTTCCCTTTAAGCATTTAATAAGCATTCTTTGTCTTCTCAGTCTCCAGAAGAAAAGGATGGGGCTAAAAAACCAACAGTCCCACTAACATTGGTAAGTGGGAAGTCATCTACACTTGCCCCATGTTTTACAGCACTTTAATAACGACTCAAACTTTGTGACATTACAAAAGTGGACAATCAAATATTTACCAACTTAGAATCTTAATATCCTTCTTTGTGTACTCAGTCTCCAGAAGAAAAGGATGGGAATAAAAAACCAAAAGTCCAACCAACACTGGTAAGTGAGAAGTCATCTGCACCGCCCACAAGTTTTACAGCACTTCAATCACGCCAGAATTTTTGTAAATGTACAATATTTACAGGTCAAATGTTTTTCGATTTACAAAATTTTAAAAATTCATTGTCTTCTCAGTCTCCAGAAGAGAAGGATGGGGCTAAAATACGACCAGTCCCACCAACACTGGTAAGTGAGTCGTCATCGACCGCTGCCCAAGGTTTTACAGCACCTTAATCTCGACAAAATTTTTGTAAAATTACAAAATGTACATGTCAAATGTTTTCTCTTTAAGCATTTAATAAGCATTCTTTGTCTTCTCAGTCTCCAGAAGAAAAGGATGGGGCTAAAAAACCAACAATCCCACTAACACTGGTAAGTGAGAAGTCATCTACACCTGGCCCAGGTTTTAGAGCACCTCATTTATGACCCAATTGTGGTACATTTATAATATTTACAGGTCAAATGTTTTCCGATTTACATTGTTTTAAATGTTCATTGTCTACTCAGTCTCCAGAAGGGAAGGATGGGGCTAAAAAACCACCAGTTTCACCAACACTGGTATGTAAGAAGTCATCTGCACCTGCCACACGTTTTACAGCACTTGAATAACGACTCAAATTTCGTTACATTACAAAAGTGGACAATTAAAATTTTCCGATTTAGAAACCTAATATCCTTCTTTGTCTACTCAGTCTCCAGAAGAAAAGGATGGGAATAAAAAACCAAAAGTCCAACCAACACTGGTAAGTTAGAAGTCATCTGCACCGGCCACAAGTTTTACAGCACCTCAATCACCCCAATTTTTGTAAAATTACAAAATGTACATGTCAACTGTTTTCCCATTAAGAATTTAATAATCCTTGTCTTTCTACTCAGTCTCCAGAAGGGAAAGTTGGGTCTAAAAAACCTACTGTCCCACAAACACTGGTAAGTGAGAAGGCATCTACACTTGCCCCAGGTTTTAGAGCACCTCATTTATGACCCAATTGTGGTACATTTATAATATTTACAGGTCAAATGTTTTCCGATTTACATTGTTTTAAATGTTCACTGTCTACTCAGTCTCCAGAAGAGAAGAATGGGGCTAAAATTCCACCAGTCCCACCAACACTGGTAAGTGAGTCGTCATCGACCCCTGCCCAAGGTTTTACAGCACCTTAATCATAACCCAATTTTTGTAAAATTACAAAATTTACAAGTCAAATGATTTCCCATTAAGAATTTAATAATCCTTCTTTTTCTACTTAGTCTCCAGAAGAGAAAGATGGGGCTAAAAAACCAACAGTCTCAGCAACACTGGTAAGTGAGAAGTCATCTACACCAGTCCCATGTTTTGCAGTACCTTAACCTCAACCCAATTTTTTTAAAATTAAAAAATGTACATGTCAACTGTAAGTGAGAAGTCATCTGCACCAGTCCCATGTTTTACAGTACCTTAATCTCGACCCACTTTTTTAAAATTAGAAAATGTACATGTCAACTGATTATTAAGCATTTAATAATCCTTGTCTTTCTACTCAGTCTCCAGAAGGGAAAGATCGGTCTAAAAAACCAACAGTCCAACCAACACTGGTAAGTGAGAAGTCATCAACACCAGCCCTACGTTTTAGAGCACCTTATTTATGACCCAATTTTGTTACATTTATAATATTTACAGGTCAAATGTTTTCTGATTTACATTGTTTTAAATGTTCATTGTCTACTCAGTCTCCAGAAGAGAAGCATTTGGCTAAAAAACCAACAGTCTCGGCAACACTGGTAAGTGAGAAGTCATCTACACCTTCCCCGTGTTTTACAGCACTTTAATAACAACCCAAACTATGTGAAATTACAAAAGTGGACAATTAAATGTTTACCCATTTAGAAACTTATAATCCTTCTTTGTCTACTCAGTCTGCAGAAGAGAAGGATGGAAATAAAAAACCAAAAGTCCAACCAAAACTGGTAAGTGAGAAGTCATCTGCACCTGCCACAAGTTTTACAGCACCTTAATCTCGACCCAATTTTTGTAATATTAGAAAACGTAAATATAAACTGTTTTCCCATTAAGCATTTAATAATCCTTCTTTGTCTACTCAGTCTCCAGAAGGGAAGGATGGGGCTAAAATACCACCAGTCTCACCAACACTGGTAAGTGAGAAGTCATCTACACCTGCAACAAGTTTTACAGCATCTTAATCATGACCCAATTTCTGTAAAATTACAAAATTTACAAGTCAAATGATTTCCCTTTAAGCATTTAATAAGCATTCTATGTCTTCTCAGTCTCCAGAAGAAAAGGATGGGGCTAAAAAACCAACAGTCCCACTAACACTGGTAAGTGGGAAGTCATCTACACTTGCCCCATGTTTTACAGCACTTTAATAACGACTCAAACTTTGTGACATTACAAAAGTGGACAATCAAATATTTACCAACTTAGAATCTTAATATCCTTCTTTGTGTACTCAGTCTCCAGAAGAAAAGGATGGGAATAAAAAACCAAAAGTCCAACCAACACTGGTAAGTGAGAAGTCATTTGCACCGGCCACAAGTTTTACAGCACTTCAATCACGCCAGAATTTTTGTACATGTACAATATTTACAGGTCAAATGTTTTTCGATTTACAAAATTTTAAAAATTCATTGTCTACTCAGTCTCCAGAAGAGAAGGATGGGGCTAAAATACGACCAGTCCCTCCAACACTGGTAAGTGAGTCGTCATCGACCGCTGCCCAAGGTTTTACAACACCTTAATCTCGACAAAATTTTTGTAAAATTACAAAATGTACATGTCAAATGTTTTCCCTTTAAGCATTTAATAAGCATTCTTTGTCTTCTCAGTCTCCAGAAGAAAAGGATGGGGCTAAAAAACCAACAGTCCCACTAACACTGGTAAGTGAAAAGTCATCTACACCTGGCCCAGGTTTTAGAGCACCTCATTTATGACCCAATTGTGGTACATTTATAATATTTACAGGTCAAATGTTTTCCGATTTACATTGTTTTAAATGTTCATTGTCTACTCAGTCTCCAGAAGGGAAGGATGGGGCTAAAAAACCACCAGTCTCACCAACACTGGTATGTGAGAAGTCATCTGCACCTGCCACACGTTTTACAGCACTTGAATAACGACTCAAACTTCGTTACATTACAAAAGTGGACAATTAAATATTTTCCGATTTAGAAACTTAATATCCTTCTTTGTCTACTCAGTCTCCAGAAGAAAAGGATGGGAATAAAAAACCAAAAGTCCAACCAACACTGGTAAGTTAGAAGTCATCTGCACCGGCCACAAGTTTTACAGCACCTCAATCACGCCCCAATTTTTGTAAAATTACAAAATGTACATGTCAACTGTTTTCCCATTAAGAATTTAATAATCCTTGTCTTTCTACTCAGTCTCCAGAAGGGAAAGTTGGGTCTAAAAAACCAACAGTCCCACAAACACTGGTAAGTGAGAAGTCATCTACACTTGCCCCAGGTTTTAGAGCACCTCATTTATGACCCAATTGTGGTACATTTATAATATTTACAGGTCAAATGTTTTCCGATTTACATTGTTTTAAATGTTCACTGTCTACTCAGTCTCCAGAAGAGAAGAATGGGGCTAAAATTCCACCAGTCCCACCAACACTGGTAAGTGAGAAGTCATCAACACCAGCCCTACGTTTTAGAGCACCTTATTTATGACCCAATTGTGGTACATTTATAATATTTACAGGTCAAATGTTTTCTGATTTACATTGTTTTAAATGTTCATTGTCTACTCAGTCTCCAGAAGAGAAGAATGGGGCTAAAATACCACCAGTCTCACCTACACTGGTAAGTGAGTCGTCATCGAACGCTGCCCAAGATTTTACAGCACCTTAATCTCGACCCAATTTTTGTAAAATTACAAAATTTACAAGTGAAATGTTTTCCCATTAAGAATTTAATAATCCTTCTTTTTCTACTCAGTCTCCAGAAGAGAAGCATTTGGCTAAAAAACCAACAGTCTCGGCAACACTGGTAAGTGAGAAGTCATCTACACCTTCCCCGCACTTTAATAACAACCCAAACTTTGTGAAATTACAAAAGTGGACAATTAAATGTTTACCCATTTAGAAACTTATAATCCTTCTTTGTCTACTCAGTCTGCAGAAGAGAAGGATGGGGCTAAAAAACCAAAAGTCCCACCAACATTGGTAAGTGAGAAGTCATCAATTACTCTCATGTTTTGTTATAATTTAATCATGACCCAATTTAGTAAAATTACAAAAATTGTAAATGGAATGTTGTCCCGTTATGAATCTTGTAATGCTTCATTGTCTACTCAGTCTCCAAAAGAGAAGGATGGGACAAACAAATCAACAGTACCGTCAAAACTGGTAAGTATGAAGTTATCATTAACTGTCACATGTTTTACGATAATTTAATCATGACCCAATTTTTTTAAATGACAAAATTTACAAGTTAAGTTTTCCTATTAACAGATGGTCGAGATGTGCCAGGAAATTTGTAAGTGTATCTCAGCGTCAGTTCTTCAGAAATTCGATGAGCGCATTGACGCCCTTGAAGCGAAGTTCCAGTCTATCCTTGCTGCACAGACTGACTTGCAGAACCGCATGGTCGTTCAAGAATTAGCAATTAGCGCTCACAAGAAGCGTCTGGGGAAACTTGAAACGAAACGTGCGGAGCTCACAAAACTTGTAACCCAGCAGCAAGCTAAGGTGCTGGATTTGAAAGCTCGCTCCCGAAGACATGCCATCAAAATTGTTGGCACAAAAGAAAGCTCAGAAGAAGGTAGACCAACTGAATTTGTCTCTAAGCTTATCCCCAAACTACTTGGCAGACAACATTTCCCACATCCACTGAAGGTTGAACGCACACACCGCTCTCTGTGGCCCAAGCCAGCGGTGGGTGAGAAACCGGATACCATCATTACCCGAAAACATCACTTCCAGACGAAAGAGCAAATCCGACACCTTTCCAGAACGCAGCTGTTGGAATATAAGGGGAACAAAGTTCTGATTATCCCAAACTACACCAGTCAGGTAATGGGCCAGCGCCGCACCTTTCGGAACGTAAACCAAGCCTTGAGAGGGGATGCGGTCAAGTTCCAGCTGTGCTACCCGGCCCGGCTGCAGGTGCAATGGCAGTATGATAACCCCCCTGAGGAATTCAATGACCCAGTTCACTCAGGGAGGCACGACTGAAAAGGAATAGTGAGCCATGTGATGTTTTTCTTTTTTCTTTTTCCTCTCTGTTGTCTTAAGGTGAGCTAATTCTCTGTTGTTACCCATGTGGGTGAGTTTAATGACTTTCAGGACATTGTCCAATGGTGAACTTTGACCTCGTGGGCAGCTGCAGGGGGTTAGGGGTCCTCTGCTGCCAGTCTCCCTGCAGGCCAGGCAGGATGTACACTGGAACAACACGAGCTGCTTCACTCAGCCAGGACCAGAGCGCCTAACCTCTTATGTTAGGATTTTGTGCTCATAATTCCACAATAAAACTGTAGGGATGTGGATCAAACACTACATATTCTACAGAGGTAAACATTAGAGTTTGTGAAGTCTCTAAGGCTCACAGATCCCTTTATCTCCATTGTTGCTGGCTGCATGGAAGGTCTGACTCCTGCCTGCTGAAATGAGCAACTCTGCAGGACTGCAAATACAGCTGAGTTGTTCTTTTCACCATGCACACCTTTTCTACTGTTACTCTGGGCAACTGCCAATATATGAAACCACTGATCTCAACATCCATGATTTCAGATGGAAAGGTCATAACAAATGTATAAAGTCAAGGTAATATTCTAATGGGCTTTCATTAAATATAAGCAGAAAATCAACTTTAACAGAAATAAAGACTTGAAAACATCAGACTGTGTGGAATTAATCTACATAATGAGTTACACTTGTTTGGAGTGAAATGAATTTTATATATAACTATTTTACATAGATTTCTTTATACAAACCTTGTCCAGGTAGACCAGGCTCTCCATGTAGACCATGCAGTCCTGCTGCACCAGGGTCTCCCTGTTCCCCGGCCGGTCCCATAGAACCTTTTAAGCCCTGCACACATTTACTGACTTGCTGACTCTTTGAAAAATTAATGTTTGAATATACTTATAACTATAGATACATACATTCCATCCACTTAGGGAATGTGTTAAGTTGTGTTAACTCAACACAAGTTAAGTATTTGTTAACTTGTATAAACAAGTACTTATCAATAAATACTTGTTAATATAAGTACTTAACCCTTGTGTTAACAAGTAGTTAAGAAATGTGATTAACTAATTGTTAATCACACAAGTAGTGATTAACACTACTTTGTGTTAATCAACTACAATCATGAATACTTGGAATATGCATGCAGTACATCTGTGTGGACCTACCATCTTCCCTGACATGCATTCTGTCACAGCCTCTCCATCATGCAGCTTCTATATTCGTCTACCACTCATCAGTCAGAGTTTCACCTGCTCTCCAGCTGGCCCAGGGACGCCACGCTTGCCCTGTGGACACACACATATACACCAGATCCAAGTGTGTTTCATTCAGCATTGAGTGGAGAAAAAAGCTCTGACTTCCTAACCTTCTCTCCTGTGGGGCCTCTGTATCCTTTGAGGCCCTTATCACCCTGATAATTAGAAAAAACAGCAGATGAGAGACAAGCAGCTCAGAGAGGGCTGGCAGGAAAAGGCAGGAGAAAACGTTCCTCACCCTGAGTCCTGGATGACCTTTACTGCCCTGTAACAACACAACACAAACTCACTTAGGTCCATTTTGTTGTCCACTTGTGCTAAATTCATAAACCCCAACAAGGCCAGCCCAAGTTTTTTGGGGCCAAAACCAGATTTTAATTGGCCCCTTCCTCATAACAACATGTCAAAACCAGATACTTCATCATTCCTAGGCTACACCATACCAGCAGTTATTAGCTTACACTGCAAAAACTAAATTGTACCAAGACTTTTTGTTTAGTTCTAGTGTGAATATCTTAGTACAAAGGAAATAAAACAAAGAAAGCTCACAGTACATTTTAACAAGAAATGGGATCTTGTGTTAAGTCAATAATTTCTTAATATTGATGGAAACATATTTGTTCCACTGGCAGATTATTTCACTTATAACATGGAAAAACTGCGTTGCTATAAGTGAAACAATCTGCAAGTGGAACTACTGAATTATTATAGTGGAATTATTGATTTAACACAAGCTCCTATATCTTGCTGAAAAGTTACTTTGAAATTAGTTTTGTCTTATTTCAAATGCACTAAGATATTTGCACAATAGTACTTGGTCAGACTTTATGTTTTTTCAGTGTACATCATACTGGTTATTAAGGTGGCTGATTTTAACATTACAGGAGAAGCAAACAAGCAAAATGTTCTAATTTGTACTTTGAGATTCAGAGTGTTATTTAAATGTAACATTTAACTATTTAAAAATATCAACTGCAGACAAACACTGACTTTACAGTAGAGTTAGGAAATTTCATATCTTTTATTTTGTGACTTGGAACAAACAGAAAGTGTAGGTGGTAGTGATGGGTCCGTCAACACCGACGCGTCAACGCATGAGTGAAGCCCATACACAAAACCCCTTGTTGATGCGCGTGTTGCTTTCAGCAAGTCACGTGACCGATACAGGAACTGTTTCAAAATGATACTGGCGCCATACTGTGTGTATAAGGAAGTAAATCTCTCAACGTAATACATTTGCAAAAAGAATTCTTGATCTTTTATGGTACAGCGTCAATATTGATCCTCAAGGCAAAAGAAAGATTTCATAGTTTGAGACCATTTTGATCTAACATCAGAAAATAAGGTGTTGTTATCACTTGGTTGTTGGTTCATCCGATTCTTTTTAGTTTCTACTTGATCTCTCTGAATCTTAGTTTACTTTTATATTATGTTCTGAAGATTAAGTGTTGCATATGTTTGACAGAACTGTCTTATTTAAATAAATCCACCTCCTCAATGCTGAGGCATTATAGGACATCAGAATGAATCACAGATACACATAGGATAAACTCAGGAAAACAGGCATTCTACAAATTACTCAGTTGCTTTTTATAAATTGTTTCACATAAATGTATTTACTTCATTTTATTCTACGGAAGAAGTTGTGTCAACAAAGTCTAACGGTCTAAATTTCAAAATGTTGGAAAAACTTTTTTTTTTTTTTTTTATTAAAATGTGTAAAGAAAAAACAAACAAACAAAAAAACCAGTCCACAAACATCCTCATTCCAAACACGTTCACTTAAATTTTCACTCTTTGGTACATTTTCACATTATTTGTTGACTATCTAAGAATACCAAACATATTTGGAATTTAACTGAAGATATGAGAAAATGCAATATATAATATATAATAAAATACAATGACTTAGTACCAAGTCATCAAATCAGTCTGTCAACTTTATTGCCTGTAAGAATTTTTAATGTCCAGCAGGTGTCCGTATTCAGTGACACAGTGTAGACACAGTATCAATACAGTTTTGCTTTGGGTCGAAACGCTTCATGACTACCATCACTAGTAGGTGTTTTAAAATGTGTAATCTAACACTACAAAATAAAATGAGGTGAAAGATTTTGTTCTACATACATGGAAACAATTATTTATTACATTTTCTTTTAAATAGTTGAGATATTTTTCCATGACTTGGTGAAATGTAAGATGAATTAAAGCTTTGTTGTACCTTTATCATCCCAGGAGTTCCGATGTCTCCATACAGACCCCTCCAGCCTCTCTCACCTTTCTCCCCCTGTGGGACCAGTGACCCATATGAGCTCTAGGCTTCCAAAGGTCAATGCCCTTTATCACCATTTGTATCATCTTTCATTTTCCAACATGATTAATACTTACTTCAACAACCTGTTGTAAACAGTGTATGATATGTATTTTGCCTTATACCGAATTATCATTACACTTCAGGACAGTGCAGGGATTTTTTACAGTAATCCATGCCATGATGCAGCCACACACTGTTTTGTTTATGTATTAATTATCAGTAACTAGTCAGGCCTTTGGACACAGTTAACTATTGCTCCATGGTTTTATTTGCACATTATTAACCACAACAGCAGAGATGGGAGCCTTAAATGTGGAAATGGAGAACTGGCTGGAGGCTCAGATCAATTATTTTAGACTTAAATCAATTGAAAAATATATAGGTATTTTATCTGCGTTTCACTTTTTTTTTTGTTGCATTGGCTTGAAAAATGCGACAGACTGGCGACCTGTCCAGGGTGTACCCCGCCTCTCGCCCGGAACGCAGCTGGAGATAGGCACCAGCAACTCCCGTTAGGAGTCGGAAGTTGCACTATAATTAAAATTAAAATTTTAATTATAGTGCAATAATTTAAATTAAAATTTTAATTAAAGTCCATGGTGTGTTGTCATGTGGTCTTCTCAGTGCTGCATGCATTTCAGACCAGGGGTGTCAAACTTCAGTCCTCGAAGGCTTGTGTCCTGCAACTTTTAGATGTGCCTCTGCTGCATCACACCTGAATAGAATAATTAGGTCATTTGCAAGGTTCTGGAGAACTTATCTTCACAAGGAGGAGGTAATTAAGCCATTTCATTCCTGTGTTTTGTACCTGTGGCACATCGTAAAACTGCAGGATTGTGGCCCTCGAGGCTGGAGTTTGACACCCCTGGCTGTAGACAGAGGAGTGGATGATTTAATGAACAAAGTCAGTCAGGTGACGCAGTTCATTAGACTGAAACAGTTGCTGAATGTGGGTCAGGCCGGCCAGGTTGGATTTCTTAGGCCTGATATAAACTCTAACATGTGACGACATAAATGGAGGCTTTGCTGGGATCTTTGAAGTGGTCAGATTTTGCGATGACCTGTTTATGACTCAGATTGTTTTCTGTGTAGATATAGATAATGGTCACAGAAAGGTACAACAGGTTATTGGAAGATTACAAAAAAACAACAACATAACACATTTTTAAGAAAACTGATTAGAAAAACAAAACACTTTTTTCAAATCTTCAGCCAAGATAACACATTATAATAAAAATATGAGGTTTTCAGAGATGAAGGATGATACAGGTCAAGCTAAGATCCTTCTAGGCTCATCTAATGGAAGTCCACCAAAGAAAAAGACATATCCATATGTTTACAAATGAAGAGAAACACAGCATACATGACAGTTAAATGAGAAAAAGAAGCCTAATTATGGTAATTAGCTAAACATGCAATTTTAGTTAATTTCACACATCAAGTTCAGGCCTTGAACTTACTTGGAAGAACATGGTGCACTTTTTTGTTATCCTTCATTTTAAGAGTAAACAATGTAACAACCCTGAAAAGACTACATGTTGGAGGAACTGAATGTTCCAGTAGGACCTGTTCATATCACCTGAGATATGAACAGGCCCGAGATCGCGCCCTACTGGTCAGAGCTGATAATGGATCTAAACTTATTGTGCTATTTCACTGTGGTCTATGAAGCACCTGGGCATGCAGACTGTTTTCACAAATATTTGTGAAAGAATGGGTCACTCTGTGAACTGTGATGTCACCTGTGCAACAAATCCAGTCGTTAAAATTTCCTCGCTCCTAAATATTCCACAGTCAGCTGTGTTATGAGGAAACGGAAGTGTTTGGGAACGACAGCAACTCATTCACAAAGTGGTCGGCCATGTAAACTGACAGAGCGACTGCCTTCCCAGAAGAGTTGAAGCTGTTCTAGTTGCAAAGTGTAGACCAATGTCCTATAGAACTCTATGGATTAGGAATGGAAATGACTTACATTACTGTTAAGCATGTTTGAGTCTCCTAAAAAGCATTTAAAATAATTTCATCTTGATGGCAATCCTGGATGTTATCATAGTCTAATGAGTTCTAAGATGGTAATTTTGTTTTGTTCAAAATTACCTTAACATGTCAGTGCAAAAAAAAAAGAAAATATTGGATATTATTTATTTCTTCTTTTTTTTTTTTTACCAGTTATGTGATCCATAAGACTTGACCTCAGTCAGATGTGTCAGCCATCTTGACAAATGGTTTGCCATATTGAATTTTGCCATCCCCAACAGTAGATACATGTTGCAAATTTTATGCTTGCATCACAAATGGAAAGATTGTTTCACCTATTTTCTTCAATAATAGCACTGGAATATTGTCAAGGTCTTCTGCTATCAGTAGGTCTGCTGCAATTAGTCACATGCATGAAACAAAACACACTTTTGTATCACTTTGTAATGACTGGACATGCAGAAGCTGGCCTGCCCACGGTATTAGCATATGGCCAAGTAGATTGCGGCGTATTCCTAAGTCCAGCCTATTGTCCGGGGCGTACTTACCAAAGAAGATAAATATGTAATGTACTCTGATTTCTGGGCTCTTTCTGTGGTAACACTGCATAAAGGCTCAGTGCTGTACAACTTTACATGTGGTCAAGAATAAATTAGTCTCTGGCTTGCTACTGACTCCAGCTCCTTTCCTTGGGCTCCCAACAGAAGAGCTGAGTGATAGAAAAAGCTAACAATTACCTGAACCGAAGGTATTTGTACAATATTTTTTCTGAAGCTAATCAATAATAGGGCATGCTATCAACTGTATAATATGTTTATTTTAACAGCTCTTCAACAACAAAAGCTCATCTTTTTAGAGACATGAAAGCTGTGATTGGACTGCAGTTGATGCTGATAGGAGTCTGTTGTGGTGAGCTCTTCATGATTTTTTTCACATAACACCTTATTGACTGTGTGGTTGTTTTGTCTGGATTTCTCATACATTCTACATTGTGAAATCTCTTAATGACACATTGTTTAATATTTTCTACATTGATTCATTTTTTAATGCCTTGGATTTCAAGGATATTCTTAAAGTTTTCTTCTTAAACCAAAATTAAAAGTCTTCATTTGCTGTGTCTGCATTGGGTCATGCCTCTGATATTATCAGACACACACATCATTACTGTGTGGATGATAATCATATCTTATTGATAATAAAGTTTTTGTTGTCAAATTAAGTTAGTACACACTTTGTTAGCATTAATGTCAAATTAATGTATTTGTCGTTTTTAATTAGGTATCTGTAGCTTTTTTTGGCATGAAATGATTATAGAAAAAAACAAAAATGCAACCACTACTGATAACAATAGCAGTCAAAGTAGGAATAACTGACAGCCATCTGCCATGGGCAGATGAGGTTTTGACAAGACAGAGCAGAAAACACAAGAAAAAACAGACAAAATGATGTTGGATTATTTCAGTGTTCATGACAGTAAAAAGTTGATAGCAGAAGATAGAAAACGTTGGCTATTATCTGCATTTCTCAGCAGATGTCCTCCTCCAGGAAGGACTTACAGCTCATATTTCTCATATCATAGGAGATTGTTTTGGATTCGCTCAATTTTGTGGACTCTCTGATAGTAAGGAACTACAACTGTCCATATAGGAGTAACCAACTGAACAGTCATCAGCTGGCTGAACCAAAAGTTTTTTGTTTCAAAGTTAAGTCTTGCTGCTGTGAGGTGTTAAAAATGGTTTCATGCAAATAAATTTGTCTTCCCGTTTTTCTATTTTTCTAAGGTATGGAATCTTCCTGCAATGCCAGAAAGAAGGAAGTTCGTTGTTTTGGAGCCTTAGGAGGAACAGTGAACCTTCGGATAATGAATAAGGCCACAAAACTATCTAAATTCATTTGGGCAAAGAAACGCTCACAGTTATTCCACTGGAGGTCCCAAAAGATTGTAGCTCGTACAGAGGACAATAGATTTAGCTTTTTTCCACATAATGGAACAGTTAAGATCACTAACCTTAGAAGGCACGACAGCGGTTTATATCAACTTGTTGTGTTCAAGAAAGGTCGAAAGCGCAAAGTTATAAGAACTTTGAAGCTTTTTATTGAAGGTAATTAGATGTTGATCTTCCTACATTTCTACTTATTTTTATTTTCTTCTCATACATTAATAGCAATTATAAAAATCTAACATTGTATTTCATCTATAGAATGTGAAATAAAACTATCATGTCTGTTCTGTCAATTGAATTGTATTTTAACTTAAAATTTCAATAATACTTCTGTGGTTTATCTCTCAGCTCCTGTGTCAACTCCCTGGGTAGTTTCTAAATGTACGTCCTCTGGAGAGCAGAGGGTGTTCTGCTTTCCTGAGGAAGAGGGCAATTATGTCTGCAAGTGGACTATGAATAAAAAACCTCTGAAAAACTCTAAGTACTTCTCTGGATATGCTAAGAAAAGGTCTGAGCCCTATTATGAACATGATAAGACTTGCACCATTCTTTTGCAACCAAAGGCAACAGGTCATCTGCGCTGCTTACTCAAGAATCACATAAGTTATTCCTTCATGGAGATAAAGATAACCAGCTGTGGTGAGTAAAAACATCATTAAATGAAACAACCTGATCTTTCATATATGTCAGCTTCATTTCTAAAAGCATCCCACACGACAGATATTTAATCAAAACCATTTTGGGTATTTGGACCATCTACAGCCAAAGAAAGATGGAATATTCAGCTCCCAAAAAAGAAGGAAGGGGCAAACAAACCAACAGTCCCACGAAAACCGGTACGTGAGAAGTCATCAACACCTGCCACAGGATTTGCAATACTGAAAATATGAACCAATGTTTTAAAATTACAAAACTGTTCAATGTAAAGTTTTCCCCTTAACAGTCTTTTAATCTTTCATTGTCGACTCAGTCTAAAAACAAAAAGGGTCAGAAAAAAACCCCGAAAGTGCCACCAAAATCGGTAAGTTATAAGTTATCACCTGTCACAGGCTTTACAACACTTTAAGCATGCCCAATTGATGTACAATTACAAAATTTGCAAGTCGTAAGTTTTCTCATTAACCCTCTATAAATCCATCATTGTGATCTCAGTCTGCAAAAGAGACGAATGGGGTAAAAAAAAAAACAACAGTCCCACCAAAAACGTTATGTGAGAAGTTATCAACTGCCACAGATTTTACAATACCTTAATGATGACCCAATGTTTGTAAAATTACAAAATTTACAAAATAAAAGTTTTCCTATTAGCAGTCTTTTAATCCTTCATTGTTGACACAGACTCCGAAAGAGAAGGACGGGGCAAAGAAACCAAAGGTGCCACCAACACTGGTCTGTGAGATGTCATCAACACCTGTAGCAGATTTAATAATACTTTAATCATGAACTATTTGATGCATAATCACAAAATCTAAAAGTCAGATGTTTTCCCTCCAACCCTTTCTTAATCCTTCATTGTCAACTCAGTCTCCAGAAGAGAAAGATGGGGGAAAAAAAACAAAGGTGCCACAAAACCTGGTACGTGATACACCTGCCACAGATGTTATAATACTTTAATCATGACCCAATTTTTGCAAGATTACTAAATTTACAAGACAAAAGTTATTCTATTAACACTCTTTTAATCCTTCATTGTCTACTCAGTCTCCGAAAGAGAAAGATGGGGCAGAAAAACCAACAGTCCCACCAAAACCGGTATGTGAGAAGTTATCAACCCCTGCCACAGATTTTACAATACCTTAATTATGACCCAATTTTTGTAAAATTACAAAATTTACAAGATAAAAGTTTTCCTAGTAGCAGTCTTTTATTCCTTCATTGTCTACTTAGTCTCCAAAAGAGAAGGATGGGGCAAAGAAACCAAAGGTGCCACCGAAAACGGTAAGTGACACACCTGCCACAGTTGTTACAATACATTACTCACGACCCAATTTTTGTAAATTTGCAAAATTTACAAGTCAAATGTTTTCCCATTAACAGTCTTTTAATCCTTCATTGTCTACTCAGTCTCCAAAAGAAAAGGATGAAGTTAAAAAACCAACAGTCCCACCAACACCAGTATGTGAGAAGTAATCAACACTGTCCAAAGATTTTACAATACTTTAATCATGACCCAATTGATGTATAATTACAAAATTTATAAGACAAATGTTTTCCCTCTAACTATCTTTTTATTCTTCATTGTGATTTCAGTCTCCAGAAAAGAAGGATGGGAAAAAGAAACCAAAGGTGCCACAAAAACCAGTACATGAGACACCTGCCACAGATGTTATAATACTTTAGTCATAACCCAATTTTCGTAAGATTTCTAAATTTACAAGAAAAAAGTTATTCTATTAACACTCTTTTAATCTTTCATTGTCACCTCAGTCTCCAAAAGAAAAGGACGAGGTTAAAAAACCAACAGTCCCACCAAAACCGGTATGTGAGAAGTTATCAACTGCCACAGATTTTACAATATTATTATTATGTCCCAATTTTTGTAAATTTGCTAAATTTATAAGTCAAAAGCTTTCCCATTAACAGTTTAAGAAACCAACAGCACCATCAAAACCAGTAAGTGAGAAGTCATCAACACCTGCTACAGGTTTTTCAGCACTTTACTCATGACCCAATCTTGTCAATTTAAAGTTTTTCCATTAAGAATCTCTTAATCCTTCATTGCGATCTCAGTCTCCAAAAGCAAAGGATTGGGCTAACATACCAAAAGGTCCCCCTAAGTTGGTTGGTGGAACTTCACAAACACCTGCAACGGGTTTTACAGCACATTTAGTGTGACTCACTACAATCCACCTTTTCAATTTCATCACTACTAGTTATGTTCCTGAATTTATGTGATTCCATTCCAATTATCATTGCTTACATTGGGTTTGGCAAATGTTTCCCCCACTTTACAGTGGATTTCTGCATATTATTCGAGCTACAGTCTTTTGCTTCACTGAAAAAAAAAAAATCCATAATATCGATGGTAAAAATGAGAAGATACAAAGTTAAAATGCAAAGCACTACATACCACATGCTGTTCAGAGTGTTACTGTAACTCAGGACAGATAATTTTTATTTAATTTAAAATGCAGTCATTTTAAATGAAGTAGAATTTGATTAAAAAGTTAATTTATTTTAGTGACTTAATTGACTAATTAAATAAACTTAAATTTCAGCAATACTGGTCATGCTATTATTGCATCAGTAAATAAATGAACTTTTATTTTATGTTTATTTAGTGATAATCAGTAAATAACCATCACCTTGTCTACTGATGTGTAAATAAGCATCAGTCTATTTACTGATGTTTTCAAACGTATTTCAGAAATGTACAACTTTTGGAAATTGTAAAATTCATGGAAAAATACTGTATTGATGCTAGAAGTTAGTTTCCCTAAAATTCCTCTTCAACACTAAACTAGCAGTTTTGCTGCTGATGCGTCAAGCAGAAAACTCTTAGTGTAGGACAAATGTGTGTTTGGCATAAAATTTCAAGTAATATCAAATGTATCACTTGATAAAAAGTAGCAGAAAAGTCGGCAGTTGGAGTTTTCCCTGTAATCATTTAATTCCTTATCTGTATTTGAATCGTCACCAAAACAGTTCAGCCATATCATCTGCTGGTAATGTTTAGAAAACCCAATTGCATCGCCGCTTCTATCAGACTGCCTGACAATTCAGTAGATTTCAATCATTAGCGCGTGAATGTGTCTTTAAAATTTCAAGAAAAATTGAGTATTATGAAAATTATATTAAACCAAAGTATCACACTAGCCTTCTCTTCTTTATTATCGATTATTATACGCAACATATAATGTGTTTTTATGAGGTACACAAGGGAACTCCTCCTCGGGCATGGGAGGAGTTCGGAGAGACCATGGAGAAAGACTTTCGCATGGCTTCGAGGCGATTCTGGTCCACCATCCGGCATTTCAAGAGGGGGAAGCGATGCAGAACCAACCCTGTTTATAGTGGGGATGGTGTGCTGCTGACCTCGACTCTTCACGTTGTGGGCCAGTGGGCGGAGTACTTCGAAGACCTCCTCAATCCCACTGACATGCCTTCCATTGAGGAAGCTGAGCCTGGGGATGTTGGGTTGGACTCTCCAATCTCTGGGGACGAGGTCGCCGAGGTGGTTAAAAAACTCCTTGGTGGCAGGGCCCCGGGGGTGAGATTCGCCCAGAGTTTCTCAGTGCTCTGGATGTTGTAAGGTTGTGTTGGTTGACGCGACTCTGCAGTATCGCATGGACATCAGAGGCAGTACTCCTGGATTGGCAGACTGGGGTGGTGGTCCCCCTGTTTAAAAAGGGGGATCGGAGGGTGTGCTCTAATTACAGAGGGATCACACTCTTAAGCCTCCGTGGCAAGGTCTATTCGGGGGGTGGAGAGGAGGGTCCGTCGGATAGTCGAACCTCGGATTTTGGAGGAGCAGTGTGGTTTTCGTCCTGGTCGTGGAACACTGGACCAGCTCTACACCCTCAGCAAGGTCCTGGAGGGTGCATGGGAGTTCGCCCAACCAGTCTTCATGTGCTTTGTGGACTTGGAGAAGGCATTCGACCGTGTCCCTCGGGTGCCCTCTGGGGGGTTCTCCGGGAGTATGGGGTACCGGGCCCTTTGATATGGACTGTCAGGTCCCTGTATGACCGGTGTCAGAGTCTGGTCCGCATTGCCGGCAATAAGTCAGACTCGTTTCCGATGAGGGTTGGACTCTGCCGGGGCTGCCCTTTGTCACCGATTCTGTTCATTACTTTTATGGACAGAATTTCTAGGCGCAGCCAAGGTGTTGAGGGGATCTGTTTTGGTGGCATCAGGATTCCATCTCTGCTTTTTGCGGATGATGTGGTCCTATTGGCTTCATCGGGACATGATCTGCAGCTCTCGCTTGAGCGGTTCACAGCTGAGTGTGAAGCGGCCGGGATGATCAATGCCTCCAAGTCCGAGACCATGGTCTTGAGCCCGAAAAGGGTAGATGCCTCCTCCGGGTCGAGGGGAATGTCCTGCCTCAAGTGGAGGAGATTAAGTATCTTAGGATCTTGTTCACGAATGAGGGAAGAAGGGAGCGGGAGGTCAACAGGCGGATTGGGGTGGCGTCCGCTGTGAAGCGGGTCCGTCGAGGTGAAGAGAGAGCTGAGTCAAAAAGCGAAGCTCTCTTTTACTGGTCAATCTAAGTTCCTACCCTCATCTATGGTCATGAACTTTGGGTCATGACCGAAAGAACGAGATCTCGCATACAAGCGGCTGAAATGATTTTTTGTCTGTAGGTTGGCTGGGTTCTCCCTTAGAGATAAGGTGAGAAGCTCAGTCATCCGGGAGGGACTCAGAGTAGAGCCGCTGCTCCTCCACATAGAGAGGAGACAGTTGAGGTGGCTCGGGCATCAGGTCAGGATGCCCCCTGGACGCCTCCCTGGTGAGGTTCTTTGGGCACGTCCCACCGGTAGGAGACTGCGGGGAAGACCCAGGACACCCTGGAGGTACGACATCTCTCGGCTGGCCTGGGAACGCCTTGGGATTCCCCCGGAGGAGCTGGAGGAAGTGGCTGGGGAGAGGGAAGTCTGGGCCCCTTCTTAGGCTGCTACCCCCGCGACCCGACCTCGGATAAGGGCAGAAGATGGATGGATGGATGGACAAGGGATACATACTTATATATATATCTATATATATATACACACAGAATATATAATTCTTCCATTAACTTAAGTTCAGGAGCACTGACACACCCAAACCATAACTCCAATGTTCCAAGTAATCTACTTATACTCTGCACACCCATTCTCTGTTGCGTTTCATCAACTCCACCCTCTCTTATCATTTACCTGTTTTACATCAGCCCACTTCAATCGATCAAATTTTTCCCTTTCATTCCCTTTCTCCCATTATCCTCATCCCCCTTCTCCTTCCCTCCATGCCATAACCATGCTGTATTCCTTTTTGCTGCAGGTTCCATCTGAGAAACCCACAGGGATCTGAAGAACCTGAGGTAGGTGGGCTTGGGAAAATAAGCGGACCAAATCTTCCTGAAGACCATACCCCCACGCTGAGTCTTCATCTCCCAAGACCTCCAGCATCCTCAGATCCAAGCTCATTCATCCCTCCATACCCTTCCTGCAATAAATCTTTGAACTTACACATTTTTGGCATGGAACTCAGGCATATCCTGGGAGTTGATTATTCTGACTGCCTTCCTTTTAATAATGACTGAGGATTCTCAAATATATATATGTATAGTATGTAAACTGTGTATTTCTAATTAATATATTTAAATATCTAGTTTCAACTGTTTCAATTATAAATCTGCTGCTCACATATTCATGCACCACGGCTTGGACACAGACACACACATTTACATGTTGGAAACACATTGTCGGCCATTGCATAAGTGATGAGAGCTTTATTGATGTTTTTGTTTGAACGTGTCTTTGGCTGCTTGCAACACAGTTTTACATTTATGTTGGACAAAGTGTTTGCATGAGGAAAATCTAAATTTGAAAAACAATTGTTAAAAAAATCCTCATAAATGAAAAATACCAGACATGCAGAGATTCTTAATCTGGACTCAGTGAGTCTTTGAAACCAGTAAAATGTTGCAGGAGAGGGAGAAGGAATCGATCTGATGACCCATCAGTCAGCTTGGAAAGATCACCCAGTTAGCTGTCAAGGTGTAGTCTGCGGCCCTCCTGGTCCAAGCATGGAGCAAAAACACACAGAGAATGGATGGCTATGTTAAAGTAACTTTTCATTATAACACTTTTAAGCAGGCAATTAGTGTGAAGTCATATCCTGATTATAAATGTCATGCATCAAAATGAAATGAAATAAAGGTTTGAAAACATCAATCTATGTGCAAATAATTACTTAGTTAAGTTAGTAAAGTAAATGAACTTATTATTCAAATTCTGCTTAATTTAAGTGACTGCATTGAACATGCTGCAATCTACTTGTAAGAAACAATAACACATGGTACCTAAAGATGACCAGACTGCAAAAAAAAAAATTCTATAATTCACAATATCTTATCAAACCTGAATCAATGTAAAATACTTGGTGCTACTCCTGGTGTAAGCATTTGTCAGACATGATTTGATGGGACAATAAATGTATAAAGGTCAACTAAGGACATGCAAAAAAAAATTTACTTCAAAATATTGAAGTCGTCTTCATTTGGTCCAGCTTGTTTTAAATGCGTTAATTTTAATTTTCCTCTCTAATAGAATTGGTAGTTGATCCGAACCAGGCAGGTGTTTCATGCATGATGCACACTTCATGCCTCATCAATATGAATACTTTTTGGCATGATTTAACTTTCTGTCAACTCTGATTAAACTGAAGGAACTTCTGTGTTTATACTTCTTTCTGCATGTGTGTTGATGTTCTGGGGTGTGGATGAAGATGGATGCTCTCTGTCTAGACTACTGTAATGTCAAACTTGTGGAGCTAAACTGTCTCAGGATGTTTGACACATCCTGAAGGAACATCTGTTGACTGGTTACAGATGAGTATCCAGTAGAAGGCAAGATTACATTTGATGTTCAAGAAAACTTAAATGTTAGATCACGGCACAGACCAAATAAAGTTCTTTCTGTCCTGATAATTAAAACCTAGAGGAGGTATGTCTGTCTGATAATATTGTATTTCTATTCCCTCTAAACTTCTTGGATTGCTTCTCCGGCAGTGGTTACCAGGACATTCATCCACTGGAATCTGTGTAGATGAAGAGAGATCTTCTGTCCGTCCTCAGCACCATCACGTTCTCCGCCCGCAACCGCCTCATCTCTTTCTCTCCGTCTGCAATAAACACCTGCAGAAATAAAGATGGGATGAATATTTATCCTTAAAAAAGGGAGAAATCAAGATACCTGAGACAAGAAGAAGCTCACACAATTGAACAAGATCTGCGAGGTCAGGCCTAGCAGAACCTTGCAATGAGGCCTCGGATGTCAGGATGCATATCTGAGGCCCCCTGCTGGAAGTTTGCCGCCTCCATTTACCAGACCTCAGATTGACTTGTTTATTGTTTGAACCACATTGTTCAATAAGTGGGAGTGGGAGAGTTTACTGACCGTCAGTACATTGTCCAATGGACTCTGTGAACTTTGACCTCGTGGGCAGCTGCAGGGGGTTGGGGGTCCTCTGCTGCCGGAGTCTCCCTGCAGTCCAGGCAGGATGTACACTGGAACAACACGAGCTGCTTCACTCAGCCAGGACCAGAGCGCCTAACCTCTTATCAGATATGTTAGGATTTTGTGCTCATAATTCCACAATAAAACTGTAGGGATGTGGATCAAACACTATATATTCTACAGAGGTAAACATTAGAGTTTGTGAAGTCTCTAAGGCTCACAGATCCCTTTATCTCCATTGTTGCTGGCTGCATGGAAGGTCTGACTCCTGCCTGCTGAAATGAGCAACTCTGCAGGACTGCAAATACAGCTGAGTTGTTCTTTTCACCATGCACACCTTTTCTACTGTTACTCTGGGCAACTGCCAATATATGAAACCACTGATCTCAACATCCATGATTTCAGATGGAAAGGTCATAACAAATGTATAAAGTCAAGGTAATATTCTAATGGGCTTTCATTAAATATAAGCAGAAAATCAACTTTAACAGAAATAAAGACTTGAAAACATCAGACTGTGTGGAATTAATCTACATAATGAGTTACACTTGTTTATTGGAGTGAAATGAATTTTATGTATAACTATTTTACATAGATTTTTTTTTCTTCCATACAAACCTTGTCCAGGTAGACCAGGCTCTCCATGTAGACCATGCAGTCCTGCTGCACCAGGGTCTCCCTGTTCCCCGGCCGGTCCCATAGAACCTTTTAAGCCCTGCACACATTTACTGACTTGCTGACTCTTTGAAAAATTAATGTTTGAATATACTTATAACTATAGATACATACATTCCATCCACTTAGGGAATGTGTTAAGTTGTGTTAACTCAACACAAGTTAAGTATTTGTTAACTTGTATAAACAAGTACTTATCAATAAATACTTGTTAACATAAGTACTTAACCCTTGTGTTAACAAGTAGTTAAGAAATGTGATTAACTAATTGTTAATCACACAAGTAGTGATTAACACTACTTTGTGTTAATCAACTACAATCATGAATATTGAATAAAAATAATAATATTTGCAAAAAAAAAAAATTCTTGATCTTTTATGGCACAGCGTCAATATGGATCCTCAAGGCAAAAGAAAGATTTCATAGTTTGAGACCATTTTGATCTAACATCAGAAAATAAGGTGTTGTTATCACTTGGTTGTTGGTTCATCCGGTTCTTTTCAGTTTCTACTTGATCTCTCTGAATCTTAGTTTACTTTTATATTATGTTCTGAAGATTAAGTGTTGCATATGTTTGACAGAACTGTCTTATTTAAATAAATCCACCTCCTCAATGCTGAGGCATTATAGGCCATCAGAATGAATCACAGATACACATAGGATAAACTCAGGAAAACAGGCATTCTACAAATTACTCAGTTGCTTTTTATAAATTGTTTCACATAAATGTATTCACTTCATTTTTTTCTATGGAAGAAGTTGTGTCAACAAAGTCTAACGGTCTAAATTTCAAAATGTTGGAAAAACATTTTTTTATATATATATATAAAAATGTGTACAGAAAAAACAAACAAAAGAAAAACAGTCCACTAGCATCCTCATGCCAAATAGTTGAGATATTTTTCCATGACTTGGTGAAATGTAAGATGAATTAAAGCTTTGTTGTACCTTTATCATCCCAGGAGTTCCGATGTCTCCATACAGACCCCTCCAGCCTCTCTCACCTTTCTCCCCCTGTGGGACCAGTGACCCACATGAGCTCTAGGCTTCCAAAGGTCAATGCCCTTTATCACCATTTGTATCATCTTTCATTTTCCAACATGATTAATACTTACTTCAACAACCTGTTGTAAACAGTATATGATATGTATTTGCCTTATACCGAATTATCATTACACTTCAGGACAGTGCAGGGATTTTTTACAGTAATCCATGCCATGATGCAGCCACACACTGTTTTGTTTATGTATTAATTATCAGTAACTAGTCAGGCCTTTGGACACAGTTAACTATTGCTCCATGGTTTTATTTGCACATTATTAACCACAACAGCAGAGATGGGAGCCTTAAATGTGGAAATGGAGAACTGGCTGGAGGCTCAGATCAATTATTTTAGACTTAAATCAATTGAAAAATATATAGGTATTTTATCTGCATTTCACTTTTTTTTTGTTGCATTGGCTTGAAAAATGCGACAGACTGGCGACCTGTCCAGGGTGTACCCCGCCTCTCGCCCGGAACGCAGCTGGAGATAGGCACCAGCAACTCCCGTTAGGAGTCGGAAGTTGCACTATAATTAAAATTAAAATTTTAATTATAGTGCAATAATTTAAATTAAAATTTTAATTAAAGTCCATGGTGTGTTGTCATGTGGTCTTCTCAGTGCTGCATGCATTTCAGACCAGGGGTGTCAAACTTCAGTCCTCGAAGGCTTGTGTCCTGCAACTTTTAGATGTGCCTCTGCTGCATCACACCTGAATAGAATATTAGGTCATTTGCAAGGTTCTGGAGAACTTATCTTCACAAGGAGGAGGTAATTAAGCCATTTCATTCCTGTGTTTTGTACCTGTGGCACATCGTAAAACTGCAGGATTGTGGCCCTCGAGGCTGGAGTTTGACACCCCTGGCTGTAGACAGAGGAGTGGATGATTTAATGAACAAAGTCAGTCAGGTGACGCAGTTCATTAGACTGAAACAGTTGCTGAATGTGGGTCAGGCCGGCCGGGTTGGATTTCTTAGGCCTGATATAAACTCTAACATGTGACGACATAAATGGAGGCTTTGCTGGGATCTTTGAAGTGGTCAGATTTTGCGATGACCTGTTTATGACTCAGATTGTTTTCTGTGTAGATATAGATAATGGTCACAGAAAGGTACAACAGGTTATTGGAAGATTACAAAAAAACAACAACATAACACATTTTTAAGAAAACTAATTAGAAAAACAAAACACTTCTTTCAAATCTTCAGCCAAGATAACACATTATAATAAAAATATGAGGTTTTCAGAGATGAAGGATGATACAGGTCAAGCTAAGATCCTTCTAGGTTCATCTAATGGAAGTCCACCAAAGAAAAAGACATATCCATATGTTTACAAATGGAGAGAAAATTTAACACAGCATACATGACAGTTAAATGAGAAAAAGAAGCCTAATTATGGTAACTAGCTAAACATGCAATTTTAGCTAATTTCACACATCAAGTTCAGGCCTTGAACTTACTTGGAAGAACATGGTGCACTTTTTTGTTATCCTTCATTTTAAGAGTAAACAATGTAACAACCCTGAAAAGACTACATTGGAGGAACTGAATGTTCCAGTAGGACCTGTTCATATCACCTGAGATATGAACAGGCCCGAGATCGCGCCCTACTGGTCAGAGCTGATAATGGATCTAAACTTGTGCTATTTCACTGTGGTCTATGAAGCACGTGGGCATGCAGACTGTTTTCACAAATATTGTGAAAGAATGGGTCACTCTGTGAACTGTGATGTCACCTGTGCAACAAATCCAGTCGTTAAAATTTCCTCGCTCCTAAATATTCCACAGTCAGCTGTGTTATGAGGAAACGGAAGTGTTTGGGAACGACAGCAACTCATTCACAAAGTGGTCGGCCATGTAAACTGACAGAGCGAGGTCAGCAGATGCTGAAGAGCACAGAAGACATCACCAACTTTCTGCTGGAGGTCACTATAGACCTCCAGACTTCATGTCATTAGCTCAGGAACAGTCTACAGAGAGATTTATGGAATGGGTTTCCATGGTGGCCAGCTGCATCTTAGCCATACCTCACCAAGTGCAATGCAAAGCATTGGATGCCGTGTTGTAAAGCACGCCGCACTGGACTCTTGAGCAGTGGAGGAGCGTTCTCTGAAGTTACGAATCACGCTTCTCCCTCTGGCAATCTGATGAACGAGTCTGGGTTTGGCGGTTGCCAGGACGACGGTACTTGTCAGACTATTGTGCTGAGTGTGAAGTTTGGTGGTGGGTGGATTATGGTGTGGGGTTGTTTTTCAGGAGCTGGGATTGGTCCCTTAGTTCCAATGAAAGGAACTCTGAATGCTTCAGCAACATTTTAGACAATCCTATGCTCCCAACTTTGTGAAAACAGTTTCATTGGACCCTTCGTCTTCCATATGACTGTGCATCAGATCACGAAGTAAGGTCCATAAAGACATGGATCTTGCCATAAAGACATGGAAAGACTCTGCCAGTCTTTCCACACCAGACTGGCAGAGTCTGTTGTGGATGCACTTGACTGGCCTGCACAGAGTCCTGATCCCAACCTGATAGAACACCTTTGGAATGAATTAGAGAGGAGACAGAGAGCCAGGCCTTCTAGTCCAACATCAGTATGTGACCTCACAAATACGCTTCTGGAAGAATGGTGAAAAAACCCCATAGACAGCCTTCAACTCTTTCTGGGACTGCCTTCCCAGAAGAGTTGAAGCTGTTCTAGTTGCAAAGTGTAGACCAATGTCCTATAGAACTCTATGGATTAGGAATGGAAATGACTTACATTACTGTTAAGCATGTTTGAGTCTCCTAAAAAGCATTTAAAATAATTATCTTGATGGCAATCCTGGATGTTATCATAGTCTAATGAGTTCTAAGATGGTAATTTTTTTTGTTCAAAATTACCTTAACATGTCAGTGCAAAAAAAAAAAGAAAATATTGGATATTATTTATTTCTTCTTTTTTTTTTTTACCAGTTATGTGATCCATAAGACTTGACCTCAGTCAGATGTGTCAGCCATCTTGACAAATGGTTTGCCATATTGAATTTTGCCATCCCCAACAGTAGATACATGTTGCAAATTTTATGCTTGCATCACAAATGGAAGATTGTTTCACCTATTTTCTTCAATAATAGCACTGGAATATTGTCAAGGTCTTCTGCTATCAGTAGGTCTGCTGCAATTAGTCACATGCATGAAACAAAACACACTTTTGTATCACTTTGTAATGACTGGACATGCAGCTGGCCTGCCCACGGTATTAGCATATGGCCAAGTAGATTGCGGCGTATTCCTAAGTCCAGCCTATTGTCCGGGGCGTACTTACCAAAGAAGATAAATATGTAATGTACTCTGATTTCTGGGCTCTTTCTGTGGTAACACTGCATAAAAGGCTCAGTGCTGTACAACTTTACATGTGGTCAAGAATAAATTAGTCTCTGGCTTGCTACTGACTCCAGCTCCTTCCTTGGGCTCCCAACAGAAGAGCTGAGTGATAGAAAAAGCTAACAATTACCTGAACCGAAGGTATTTGTACAATATTTTTTCTGAAGCTAATCAATAACAGGGCATGCTATCAACTGTAGAATATGTTTATTTTAACAGCTCTTCAACAACAAAAGCTCATCTTTTTAGAGACATGAAAGCTGTGATTGGACTGCAGTTGATGCTGATAGGAGTCTGTTGTGGTGAGCTCTTCATGATTTTTCACATAACACCTTATTGACTGTGTGGTTGTTTTGTCTGGATTTCTCATACATTCTACATTGTGAAATCTCTTAATGACACATTGTTTAATATTTTCTACGTTGATTCATTTTTTAATGCCTTGGATTTCAAGGATATTCTTAAAGTTTTCTTCTTAAACCAAAATCAAAGTCTTCATTTGCTGTGTCTGCATTGGGTCATGCCTCTGATATTATCAGACATACACATCATTACTGTGTGAACGATAATCACATTTTATTGATAATAAAATTTTGGTTGTCAAATTAAGTTAGTACACACTTTGTCAGCATTAATGTCAAATTAATGTATTTGTTGTTTTTAATTAGGTATATGTAGCTTTTTTTTTGGCATGAAATGATTATAGAAAAAACAGAAATGCAACCACTACTGATAACAATAGCAGTCAAAGTAGGAATAATTGACAGCCATCTGACTTGGACAGATGAGGTTCTGAGAAGACAGAGCAGAAAACACAAGAAAAAACAAACAAAATGATGTTGGATTATTTCAGTGTTCATGACAGTAAAAAGTTGATAGCAGAAGATAGAAAACGTTGGCTATTATCTGCATTTCTCAGCAGATGTCCTCCTCCAGGAAGGACTTACAGCTCAGATTTCTCATATTATAGGAGATTGTTTTGGATTCGCTCAATTTTGTGGACTCTCTGATAGTAAGGAACTACAACTGTCCATATAGGAGTAACCAACTGAACAGTCATCAGCTGGCTGAACCAAAAGTTTTTTGTTTCAAGGTTGAGTCTTGCTGTTGTGGAGTGTTAAAAATGGTTTCATGCAAATAAATTTGTCTTCCCGTTTTTCTATTTTTCTAAGGTGTGGAATCTTCCTGCAATGCCAGAAAGAAGGACGTTCGTTGTTTTGGAGCCTTAGGAGGAACAGTGAACCTTCGGATAATGGATACGGCCACAACACTACCTGAATTCATTTGGGCCAAGCAACGCTCACAGTTATTCCACTGGATGTCCCAAAAGATTGTAGCTCGTACAGAGGACAATAGATTTAGCTTTTTTCCACATAATGGAATAGTTAAGATCACTAACCTTAGAAGGCACGACAGCGGTTTATATCAACTTGTTGTGTTCAAGGAAGGTCGAAAGCGCAAAGTTATAAGAACTTTGAAGCTTTTTATTGAAGGTAATTAGATGTTGATCTTCCTACATTTCTACTTATTTTTATTTTCTTCTCATACATTAATAGCAATTATAAAAATCTAACATTGTATTTCATCTATAGAATGTCAAATAAAACTATCATGTCTGTTCTGTCAATTGAATTGTATTTTAACTTAAAATTTCAATAATACTTCTGTGGTTTATCTCTCAGCTCCTGTGTCATCTCCGTGGCTAGATTCTCAATGTATGATGTCTGGAATGAAGAGGTTTATCTGCTTTTCTCAGAAACAGGGCAACTATTTCTGCAAGTGGACTATGAATAGAAAACCTCTGAAAAACTCTAAGTACTTCTCTGGATATGCTAACAAAATGTCTAAGCCCTATTATGGACATGATAAGACTTGCAGCATTTATTTGCTACCAAAGGCAATAGGTCATCTGGGCTGCTTTCTCCAGAATCACATAAGTTATTCCTTCATACAGATGTGGATAATAAACACCTGTGGTGAGTAAAAATATCATTAAATGAAACAACCTGATCTTTCATATATGTCAGCTTCATTTCTAAAAGCATCCCACACGAGAGATATTTAATCAAAACCATTTTGGGTATTTGGACCATCTACAGCCATAGAAAGATGGTATTTTCAGCTCCCAAAAAAGAAGAAAGGGGCAAACAAACCAACAGTCCCACGAAAACCGGTACGTGAGAAGTCATCAACACCTGCCACAGGATTTGCAATACTGAAAACATGAACCAATGTTTTAAAATTACGAAACTGTTCAATGTAAAGTTTTCCTCTTAACAGTCTTTTAATCTTTCATTGTCGACTCAGTCTAAAAACAAAAAGGGTCAGAAAAAAAACCCAAAAGTGCCACCAAAACCGGTAAGTTATAAGTTATCACCTGCCACAGGCTTTACAACACTTTAAGCATGCCCAATTGATGTACAATTACAAAATTTCCAAGTCGTAAGTTTTCCCATTAACCCTCTATAAATCCATCATTGTAATCTCAGTCTGCAAAAGAGACGTATGGGGTAACAACACCAACAGTCCCGCCAAAAACGGTACGTGAGAAGTCATCAACACCTGCCACAGATTTTACAATACTTTAATCACGACCCAATTTTTGTAAATTTGCAAAATTAACAAGTCAAATATTTTCCCATTAACAGTCTTTTAATTCTTCATTGTCAACTCAGTCTCCAAAAGAAAAGGATGAGGTTCAAAAACCAACAGTCCCACCAACACCGGTATGTGAGAAGTAATCAACACTGTCCACAGATTTTACAATACTTTAATCATGACCAAATTGATGGACAATTACCAAATTTATAAGACAAATGTTTTCCCTCCAACCCTCTTTTAATCCTTCATTGTGATCTCAGTCTCTAGAAAAGAACGATGGGGCAGAAAAACCAACAGTCCCAGCAAACCCGGTACGTGAGAAGTTATCAACACCTCTCACAGATTTTACAATACTTTAATCACGACCCAATTTTTGTAAATTTGCAAAACTTACAGGTCAAATGTTTTCCCATTAACAGACTTTTAATCCTTCATTGTCAACTCAGTCTCCGAAAGAGAATGATGGGGCAGAAAAACTAACTGTCCCACCAACACCGGTATGTGAGAAGTTATCAACACCTGCCACAGTGTTTACAATACCTTAATTATGATCCAATTTTTGTAAAATTTCAAAATTTACAAGATAAAAGTTCTCCTTCTAGTAGACTTTTATTCCTTCATTGTCTACTTAGTCTCCAAAAGAGAAGGATGGGGCAAAGAAACCAAAGGTGCCACCGAAAACGGTAAGTGACACACCTGCCACAGATGTTACAATACTTTAATCACGACCCAATTTTTGTAAATTTGCAAAATTTACAAGTCAAATATTTTCCCATTAACAGTCTCTTAATCCTTCATTGTCTACTCAGTCTCCAAAAGAAAAGGATGAGGTTAAAAAACCAACAGTCCCACCAACACCAGTATGTGAGAAGTAATCAACACTGTCCACAGATTTTACAATACTTTAATCATGACCCAATTGATGTATAATTACACAATTTATAAGACAAATGTTTTCCCTCTAACCCTCTTTTAATCCTTCATTGTGATCTCAGTCTCCAGAAAAGAACGATGGGGCAGAAAAACCAAAGGTGCCACAAAAACTGGTTAGTGAGAAGTAATCAAATCCTGCCACACTGTTTACAATACTTTAATCATGACCCAATTTTTGCAAGATTACTAAAATTACAAGACAAAAGTTATTCTATTAACACTCTTTTAATCCTTCATTGTCTACTCAGTCTCTGAAAGACAATGATGGGGCAGAAAAACCAACAGTCCCAGCAAAACCGGTATGTGAGAAGTTATCAACACCTGCCACAGTGTTTACAATACTTTGGTCATGACCCAATTTTTGTAAATTTGCAAAACTTACAGGTCAAATGTTTTCCCATTAACAGACTTTTAATCCTTCATTGTCAACTCAGTCTCCGAAAGAGAATGATGGGGCAGAAAAACCAACTGTCCCACCAACACTGGTAAGTGAGAAGTCATCTACATCTGCCTCAGGTTTTACAATACCTTAATTATGACCCAATATTTGTAAAATTACAAAATTTACAAGATAACACTCTTTTAATCCTTCATTGTCAACTCAGTCTCCAAAAGAGAATGATGGGGCAGAAAAACCAACTGTCCCACCAACACCGGTATGTGAGAAGTTATCAACACTGTCCACAGATTTTACAATACTTTAACCATGACCAAATTGATGGACAATTACCAAATTTATAAGACAAATGTTTTCCCTCCAAACCTCTTTCAATCCTTTATTGTGATCTCAGTCTCTAGAAAAGAACGATGGGGCAGAGAAACCAAAGGTGCCACCGAAACCGGTAAGTGACACACCTGCCAGAGATGTTACAATACATTACTCACGACCCAATTTTTGTAAATTTGCAAAATTTACAAGTCAAATATTTTCCCATTAACAGTCTCTTAATCCTTCATTGTCTACTCAGTCTCCAAAAGAAAAGGATGAGGTTAAAACCAACAGTCCCACCAACACCAGTATGTGAGAAGTAATCAACACTGTCCACAGATTTTACAATACTTTAATCATGACCCAATTGATGTATAATTACACAATTTATAAGACAAATGTTTTCCCTCTAACCCTCTTTTAATCCTTCATTGTGATCTCAGTCTCCAGAAAAGAACGATGGGGCAGAGAAACCAAAGGTGCCACAAAAACTGGTTAGTGAGAAGTAATCAAATCCTGCCACACTGTTTACAATACTTTAATCATGACCCAATTTTTGCAAGATTACTAAATTTACAAGACAAAACTTATTCTATTAACACTCTTTTAATCCTTCATTGTGTACTCAGTCTCCGAAAGACAATGATGGGGCAGAAAAACCAACAGTCCCAGCAAAACCGGTATGTGAGAAGTTATCAACACCTGCCACAGTGTTTACAATACTTTGATCATGACCCAATTTTTGTAAATTTGCAAAACTTACAGGTCAAATGTTTTCCCATTAACAGACTTTTAATCCTTTATTGTCAACTCAGTCTCCGAAAGAGAATGATGGGGCAGAAAAACCAACTGTCCCACCAACACTGGTAAGTGAGAAGTCATCTACATCTGCCTCAGGTTTTACAATACCTTAATTATGACCCAATATTTGTAAAATTACAAAATTTACAAGATAACACTCTTTTATTCCTTCATTGTCTACTTAGTCTCCAAAAGAGAAGGATGGGGCAGAGAAACCAACTGTCCCACCAAAACCGGTATGTGAGAAGTTATCAACACCTGCCACAGTGTTTACAATACTTTGATCATGACCCAATTTTTGTAAATTTGCAAAACTTACAGGTCAAATGTTTTCCCATTAACAGACTTTTAATCCTTCATTGTCAACTCAGTCTCCGAAAGAGAATGATGGGGCAGAAAAACCAACTGTCCCACCAACACTGGTAAGTCAGAAGTCATCTACATCTGCCTCAGGTTTTACAATACCTTAATTATGACCCAATATTTGTAAAATTACAAAATTTACAAGATAACACTCTTTTATTCCTTCATTGTCTACTTAGTCTCCAAAAGAGAAGGATGGGGCAGAGAAACCAACTGTCCCACCAACACCGGTATGTGAGAAGTTATCAACACCTGCCACAGTGTTTTACAATACTTTGATCATGACCCAATTTTGTAAATTTGCAAAACTTACAAGTCAAATATTTTCCCATTAACAGTCTTTTTATCCTTCATTGTCTACTCAGTCTCCAAAGAAAAGGATGAGGTTAAAAAACCAACAGTCCAACCAACACCGGTATGTGAGAAGTAATCAACACTGTCCACAGATTTTACAGTACTTTAATCATGACCAAATTGATGGACAATTACCAAATTTATAAGACAAATGTTTTCCCTCCAAACCTCTTTTAATCCTTCATTGTGATCTCAGTCTCTAGAAAAGAACGATGGGGCAGAGAAACCAAAGGTGCCACCGAAACCGGTAAGTGACACACCTGCCACAGATGTTACAATACATTACTCACGACCCAATTTTTGTAAATTTGCAAAATTTACAAGTCAAATATTTTACCATTAACAGTCTTTTTATCCTTCATTGTCTACTCAGTCTCCAAAAGAAAAGGATGAGGTTAAAAAACCAACAGTCCAACCAACACCGGTATGTGAGAAGTAATCAACACTGTCCACAGATTTTACAGTACTTTAATCATGACCAAATTGATGGACAATTACCAAATTTATAAGACAAATGTTTTCCCTCCAACCCTCTTTTAATCCTTCATTGTGATCTCAGTCTCCAGAAAAGAACGATGGGGCAGAGAAACCAAAGGTGCCACAAAAACCGGTACGTGAGACACCTGCCACAGATGTTATAATACTTTAATCATGACCCAATTTTTGCAAGATTACTAAATTTACAAGACAAAAGTTATTCTATTAAAAGTCTTTTAATTCTTCATTGTCAACTCAGTCTCCAAAAGAGCATGATGGAGCAGAAAAACCAACAGTCCCACCAAAACCGGTACGTGAGAAGTTATCAACTGCCACAGATTTTACAATATTTTTATTATGTCCCAATTTTTGTAAATTTGCTAAATTTATAAGTCAAAAGCTTTCCCATTAACAGTTTAAGAAACCAACAGCACCATCAAAACCAGTAAGTGAGAAGTCATCAACACCTGCTACAGGTTTTTCAGCACTTTACTCATGACCCAATCTTGTCAATTTAAAGTTTTTCCATTAAGAATCTCTTAATCCTTCATTGCGATCTCAGTCTCCAAAAGCAAAGGATTGGGCTAACATACCAAAAGGTCCCCCTAAGTTTGGTTGGTGGAACTTCACAAACACCTGCAACGGGTTTTACAGCACATTTAGTGTGACTCACTACAATCCACCTTTTCAATTTCATCACTACTAGTTATGTTCCTGAATTTATGTGATTCCATTCCAATTATCATTGCTTACATTGGGTTTGGCAAATGTTTTTCTCACTTTACAGTGGATTTCTGCATATTATTCGAGCTACAGTCTTTTGCTTCACTGAAAAAAAAAATCCATAATATTGATGGTAAAAATGAGAAGATACAAAGTTAAAATGCAAAGCACTACATTACCACATGCTGTTCAGAGTGTTACTATAACTCAAGACAGATAATTTTTATTTAATTTAAAATGCAGTCATTTTAAATGAAGTAGAATTTGATTAAAAAGTTAATTTATTTTAGTGACTTAATTGACTAATTAAATAAACTTAAATTTCAGCAATACTGGTCATGCTATTATTGCATCAGTAAATAAATGAACTTTTATGTTTATTTAGTGATAATCAGTAAATAACCATCACCTTGTCTACTGATGTGTAAATAAGCATCAGTCTATTTACTGATGTTTTCAAACTTATTTTAGAAATGTACAACTTTTGGAAATTGTAAAATTCATGGAAAAATACTGTATTGATGCTAGAAGTTAGTTTCCCTAAAATTTCTCTTCAACACTAAACTAGCAGTTTTGCTGCTGATGCGTCAAGCAGAAAACTCTTAGTGTAGGACAAATGTGTGTTTGGCATAAAATTTCAAGTAATACCAAATGTATCACTTGATAAAGTAGCAGAAAAGTCGGCAGTTGGAGTTTTCCCTGTAATCATTTAATTCCTTATCTGTATTGAATCGTCACCAAAACAGTTCAGCCATATCATCTGCTGGTAATGTTTAGAAAACCCAATTGCATCGCCGCTTTTATCAGACTGCCTGACAGTTCAGTAGATTTCAATCATTAGCGCGTGAATGTGTCTTTAAAATTTCAAGAAAAATGGAGTATTATGAAAATTATATTAAACCAAAGTATCACCCTAGCCTTCTCTTCTTTATTATCAATTATTATACGCAACATATAATGTGTTTTTATGAGGTACACAAGGGAACTCCTCCTCGGGCATGGGAGGAGTTCGGAGAGACCATGGAGAAAGACTTTTGCATGGCTTCGAGGCGATTCTGGTCCACCATCCGGCATTTCAAGAGGGGGAAGCGATGCAGAACCAACCCTGTTTATAGTGGGGATGGTGTGCTGCTGACCTCGACTCTTCACGTTGTGGGCCAGGGGCGGAGTACTTCGAAGACCTCCTCAATCCCACTGACATGCCTTCCATTGAGGAAGCTGAGCCTGGGGATGTTGGGTTGGTCTCTCCAATCTCTGGGGACGAGGTCGTCGAGGTGGTTAAAAAACTCCTTGGTGGCAGGGCCCCGGGGGTGGATGAGATTCGCCCAGAGTTTCTCAGTGCTCTGGATGTTGTAAGGTTGTGTTGGTTGACGCGACTCTGCAGTATCGCATGGACATCAGAGGGTACTCCTGGATTGGCAGACTGGGGTGGTGGTCCCCCTGTTTAAAAAGGGGGATCGGAGGGTGTGCTCTAATTACAGAGGGATCACACTCTTAAGCCTCCGTGGCAAGGTCTATTCGGGGGTGGTGGAGAGGAGGGTCCGTCGGATAGTCGACCTCGGATTTTGGAGGAGCAGTGTGGTTTTCGTCCTGGTCGTGGAACACTGGACCAGCTCTACACCCTCAGCAAGGTCCTGGAGGGTGCATGGGAGTTCGCCCAACCAGTCTTCATGTGCTTTGTGGACTTGGAGAAGGCATTCGACCGTGTCCCTCGGGGTGCCCTCTGGGGGGTTCTCCGGGAGTATGGGGTACCGGGCCCTTTGATATGGACTGTCAGGTCCCTGTATGACCGGTGTCAGAGTCTGGTCCGCATTGCCGGCAATAAGTCAGACTCGTTTCCGATGAGGGTTGGACTCTGCCGGGGCTGCCCTTTGTCACCGATTCTGTTCATTACTTTTATGGACAGAATTTCTAGGCGCAGCCAAGGTGTTGAGGGGATCTGTTTTTGGTGGCATCAGGATTCCATCTCTGCTTTTTGCGGATGATGTGGTCCTATTGGCTTCATCGGGACATGATCTGCAGCTCTCGCTTGAGCGGTTCACAGCTGAGTGTGAAGCGGCCGGGATGAGGATCAATGCCTCCAAGTCCGAGACCATGGTCTTGAGCCCGAAAAGGGTAGATGCCTCCTCCGGGTCGAGGGGAATGTCCTGCCTCAAGTGGAGGAGATTAAGTATCTTAGGATCTTGTTCACGAATGAGGGAAGAAGGGAGCGGGAGGTCAACAGGCGGATTGGGGTGGCGTCCGCTGTGAAGCGGGTCCGTCGAGGTGAAGAGAGAGCTGAGTCAAAAGCGAAGCTCTCTTTTACTGGTCAATCTAAGTTCCTACCCTCATCTATGGTCATGAACTTTGGGTCATGACCGAAAGAACGAGATCTCGCATACAAGCGGCTGAAATGATTTTTTGTCTGTAGGTTGGCTGGGTTCTCCCTTAGAGATAAGGTGAGAAGCTCAGTCATCCGGGAGGGACTCAGAGTAGAGCCGCTGCTCCTCCACATAGAGAGGAGACAGTTGAGGTGGCTCGGGCATCAGGTCAGGATGCCCCATGGACGCCACCCTGGTGAGGTTTTTTGGGCACGTCCCACCGGTAGGAGACTGCAGGGAAGACCCAGGACACCCTGGAGGTACGACATCTCTCGGCTGGCCTGGGAACGCCTTGGGATTCCCCCGGAGGAGCTGGAGGAAGTGGCTGGGGAGAGGGAAGTCTGGGCCTCCCTTCTTAGGCTGCTACCCCCGCGACCCGACCTCGGATAAGGGCAGAAGATGGATGGATGGATGGACAAGGGATACATACTTATATATATCTATATATATATACACACAGAATATATAATTCTTCCATTAACTTAAGTTCAGGAGCACTGACACACCCAAACCATAACTCCAATGTTCCAAGTAATCTACTTATACTCTGCACACCCATTCTCTGTTGCGTTTCATCAACTCCACCCTCTCTTATCATTTACCTGTTTTACATCAGCCCACTTCAATCGATCAAATTTTTCCCTTTCATTCCTTTCTCCCATTATCCTCATCCCTCTTCTCCTTCCCTCCATGCCATAACCATGCTGTATTCTTTTTGCTGCAGGTTCCATCTGAGAAACCCACAGGGATCTGAAGACCTGAGGTAGGTGGGCTTGGGAAAATAAGCGGACCAAATCTTCCTGAAGACCATACCCCCACGCTGAGTCTTCATCTCCCAACCTCCAGCATCCTCAGATCCAAGCTCATTCATCCCTCCATCCCCTTCCTGCAATAAATGTTTAAACTTACACATTTGTGGCATGGAACTCAGGCATATCCTGGGAGTTAATTATTCTGACTGCCTTCCTTTTAATAATGACTGAGGATTCTCAAATATATATATGTATAGTATGTAAACTGTGTATTTCTAATTAATATATTTAAATATCTAGTTTCAACTGTTTCAATTATAAATCTGCTGCTCACATATTCATGCACCACGGCTTGGACACAGACACACACATTTACATGTTGGAAACACATTGTCGGCCATTGCATAAGTGATGAGAGCTTTATTGGTGTTTTTGTTTGAACGTGTCTTTGGCTGCTTGCAACACAGTTTTACATTTATGTTGGACAAAGTGTTTGCATGAGGAAAATCTAAATTTGAAAAACAATTGTTAAAAAAAATCCTCATAAATGAAAATACCAGACATGCAGAGATTCTTAATCTGGACTCAGTGAGTCTTTGAAACCAGTAAAATGTTGCAGGAGAGGAGAAGGAATCGATCTGATGACCCATCAGTCAGCTTGGAAAGATCACCCAGTTAGCTGTCAAGGTGTAGTCTGCGGCCCTCCTGGTCCAAGCATGGAGCAAAACACACAGAGAATGGATGGCTATGTTAAAGTAACTTTTCATTATAACACTTTTAAGCAGGCAATTAGTGTGAAGTCATATCCTGATTATATCCTCATCAAATGAAATGAAATAAAGGTTTGAAAACATCAATCTATGTGCAAATAATTACTTAGTTAAGTTAGTAAAGTAAATGAACTTATTATTCAAATTCTGCTTAATTTAAGTGACTGCATTGAACATGCTGCAATCTACTTGTAAGAAACAATAACACATGGTACCTAAAGATGACCAGACTGCAAAAAAAAAAATTCTATAATTCACAATATCTTATCAAACCTGAATCAATGTAAAATACTTGGTGCTACTCCTGGTGTAAGCATTTGTCAGACATGATTTGATGGGACAATAAATGTATAAAGGTCAACTAAGGACATGCAAAAAAATTTTACTTCAAAATATTGAAGTCGTCTTCATTTGGTCCAGCTTGTTTTAAATGCGTTAATTTTAATTTTCCTCTCTAATAGAATTGGTAGTTGATCCGAACCAGGCAGGTGTTTCATGCATGATGCACACTTCATGCCTCATCAATATGAATACTTTTTGGCATGATTTAACTTTCTGTCAACTCTGATTAAACTGAAGGAACTTCTGTGTTTATACTTCTTTCTGCATGTGTGTTGATGTTCTGGGGTGTGGATGAAGATGGATGCTCTCTGTCTAGACTACTGTAATGTCAAACTTGTGGAGCTAAACTGTCTCAGGATGTTTGACACATCCTGAAGGAACAACTGTTGACTGGTTACAGATGAGTATCCAGTAGAAGGCAAGATTACATTTGATGTTCAAGAAAACTTAAATGTTAGATGGCACAGACCAAATAAAGTTCTTTCTGTCCTGATAATTAAAACCTAGAGGAGGTATGTCTGTCTGATAATATTGTATTTCTATTCCCTCTAAACTTCTTGGATTGCTTCTCCGGCAGTGGTTACCAGGACATTCATCCACTGGGAATCTGTGTAGATGAAGAGAGATCTTCTGTCCGTCCTCAGCACCATCACGTTCTCCGCCCGCAACCGCCTCATCTCTTTCTCTCCGTCTGCAATAAACACCTGCAGAAATAAAGATGGGATGAATATTTATCCTTAAAAAAGGGAGAAATCAAGATACCTGAGACAAGAAGAAGCTCACAGAATTGAACAAGATCTGCGAGGTCAGGCCTAGCAGAACCTTGCAATGAGGCCTCGGATGTCAGGATGCATATCTGAGGCCCCCTGCTGGAAGTTTGCCGCCTCCATTTACCAGACCTCAGATTGACTTGTTTATTGTTTGAACCACATTGTTCAATAAGTGGGAGTGGGAGAGTTTACTGACCGTCAGTACATTGTCCAATGGACTCTGTGAACTTTGACCTCGTGGGCAGCTGCAGGGGGTTGGGGTCCTCTGCTGCCGGAGTCTCCCTGCAGTCCAGGCAGGATGTACACTGGAACAACACGAGCTGCTTCACTCAGCCAGGACCAGAGCCTAACCTCTTATCAGATATGTTAGGATTTTGTGCTCATAATTCCACAATAAAACTGTAGGGATGTGGATCAAACACTATATATTCTACAGAGGTAAACATTAGAGTTTGTGAAGTCTCTAAGGCTCACAGATCCCTTTATCTCTATTGTTGCTGGCTGCATGGAAGGTCTGACTTCTGCCTGCTGAAATGAGCAACTCTGCAGGACTGCAAATACAGCTGAGTTGTTCTTTTCACCATGCACACCTTTTCTACTGTTACTCTGGGCAACTGCCAATATATGAAACCACTGATCTCAACATCCATGATTTCAGATGGAAAGGTCATAACAAATGTATAAAGTCAAGGTAATATTCTAATGGGCTTTCATTAAATATAAGCAGAAAATCAACTTTAACAGAAATAAAGACTTGAAAATCAGACTGTGTGGAATTAATCTACATAATGAGTTACACTTGTTTATTGGAGTGAAATGAATTTTATATATACTATTTTACATAGATTTTTTTTTCTTCCATACAAACCTTGTCCAGGTAGACCAGGCTCTCCATGTAGACCATGCAGTCCTGCTGCACCAGGGTCTCCCTGTTCCCCGGCCGGTCCCATAGAACCTTTTAAGCCCTGCACACATTTACTGACTTGCTGACTCTTTGAAAAATTAATGTTTGAATATACTTATAACTATAGATACATACATTCCATCCACTTAGGGAATGTGTTAAGTTGTGTTAACACAAGTTAAGTATTTGTTAACTTGTATAAACAAGTACTTATCAATAAATACTTGTTAACATAAGTACTTAACCTTGTGTTAACAAGTAGTTAAGAAATGTGATTAACAATTTGTTAATCACACAAGTAGTGATTAACACTACTTTGTGTTAATCAACTACAATCATGAATACTTGGAATATGCATGCAGTACATCTGTGTGGACCTACCATCTTCCCTCTGGCTCCTGGCTCTCCTCTTGTTCCTTGCTCCCCCATCAGACCTCTGTTTCCCTTCTGGCCCAGGTGTCCCTGAGACAGGAAATGCATTCTGTCACAGCCTCTCCATCATGCAGCTTCTATATTCGTCTACCACTCATCAGTCAGAGTTTCACCTGCTCTCCAGCTGGCCCATGGACGCCACGCTTGCCCTGTGGACACACACATATACACCAGATCCAAGTGTGTTTCATTCAGCATTGAGTGGAGAAAAAAGCTCTGACTTCCTAACCTTCTCTCCTGTGGGGCCTCTGTATCCTTTGAGGCCCTTATCACCCTGATAATTAGAAAAAACAGCAGATGAGAGACAAGCAGCTCAGAGAGGGCTGGCAGGAAAAGGCAGGAGAAAACGTTCCTCACCCTGAGTCCTGGATGACCTTTACTGCCCTGTAACAACACAACACAAACTCACTTAGGTCCATTTTGTGGTCCACTTGTGCTAAATTCATAAACCCCAACAAGGCCAGCCCAAGTGTTTTGGGGCCAAAACCAGATTTTAATTGGCCCCTTCCTCATAACAACATGTCAAAACCAGATACTTCATCATTCCTAGGCTACACCATACCAGCAGTTATTAGCTTACACTGCAAAAACTAAATTGTACCAAGACTTTTTGTTTAGTTCTAGTGTGAATATCTTAGTACAAAGGAAATAAAACAAAGAAAGCTCATCAGTACATTTTAACAAGAAATGGGATCTTGTGTTAAGTCAATAATTTCTTAATATTGATGGAAACATATTTGTTCCACTGGCAGATTATTTCACTTATAACATGGAAAAACTGCGTTGCTATAAGTGAAACAATCTGCAAGTGGAACTACTGAATTATTATAGTGGAATTATTGATTTAACACAAGCTCCTATATCTTGCTGAAAAGTTACTTTGAAATTAGTTTTGTCTTATTTCAAATGCACTAAGATATTTGCACAATAGTACTTGGTCAGACTTTATGTTTTTTCAGTGTACATCATACTGGTTATTAAGGTGGCTGATTTTAACATTACAGGAGAAGCAAACAAGCAAAATGTTCTAATTTGTACTTTGAGATTCAGAGTGTTATTTAAATGTAACATATTAATTTAACTATTTAAAAATATCAACTGCAGACAAACACTGACTTTACAGTAGAGTTAGGAAATTTCATATCTTTTATTTTGTGACTTGGAACAAACAGAAAGTGTAGGTGGTAGTGATGGGTCCGTCAACACTGACGCGTCGACGCATGAGTGAAGCCCATACACAAAACCCCGTGTTGATGCGCGTGTTGCTTTCAGCAAGTCACGTGACCGATACAGGAACTGTTTCAAAATGATACTGGCGCCATACTGTGTGTATAAGGAAGTGAATCTCTCAACGTAATACATTTGCAAAAAAAAAAAATTCTTGATCTTTTATGGTACAGCGTCAATATGGATCCTCAAGGCAAAAGAAAGATTTCATAGTTTGAGACCATTTTGATCTAACATCAGAAAATAAGGTGTTGTTATCACTTGGTTGTTGGTTCATCCGATTCTTTTAGTTTCTACTTGATCTCTCTGAATCTTAGTTTACTTTTATATTATGTTCTGAAGATTAAGTGTTGCATATGTTTGACAGAACTGTCTTATTTAAATAAATCCACCTCCTCAATGCTGAGGCATTATAGGCCATCAGAATGAATCACAGATACACATAGGATAAACTCAGGAAAACAGGCATTCTACAAATTACTCAGTTGCTTTTTATAAATTGTTTCACATAAATGTATTCACTTCATTTTTTTCTATGGAAGAAGTTGTGTCAACAAAGTCTAACGGTCTAAATTTCAAAATGTTGGAAAAACTTTTTTTATTATATATATATATATATATATATATAATATAAATGTGTACAGAAAAAACAAACAAAAGAAAAACAGTCCACAGCATCCTCATGCCAAATAGTTGAGATATTTTTCCATGACTTGGTGAAATGTAAGATGAATTAAAGCTTTGTTGTACCTTTATCATCCCAGGAGTTCCGATGTCTCCATACAGACCCCTCCAGCCTCTCTCACCTTTCTCCCCCTGTGGGACCAGTGACCCACATGAGCTCTAGGCTTCCAAAGGTCAATGCCCTTTATCACCATTTGTATCATCTTTCATTTTCCAACATGATTAATACTTACTTCAACAACCTGTTGTAAACAGTGTATGATATGTATTTTGCCTTATACCGAATTATCATTACACTTCAGGACAGTGCAGGGATTTTTTACAGTAATCCATGCCATGATGCAGCCACACACTGTTTTGTTTATGTATTAATTATCAGTAACTAGTCAGGCCTTTGGACACAGTTAACTATTGCTCCATGGTTTCATTTGCACATTATTAACCACAACAGCAGAGATGGGAGCCTTAAATGTGGAAATGGAGAACTGGCTGGAGGCTCAGATCAATTATTTTAGACTTAAATCAATTGAAAAATATATAGGTATTTTATCTGTGTTTTTTTTTTTTTTTTTTACTTGCATTGGTTTGTATGATTCTAGTCTTTAGTCCTCATTAATAATCAAATTTTACTTGTGTTTAGATTTGTGGCCTGCGCCGAGCCTGACATGGGACTGGGGCCGGGTAGGAACCCAATCATTTGCTCCATGTTCAGGTCTGGGTCAGGCTCAGGCTCCTAGTGTGTCTAACAAGGCTGAAATGCATGCAGCACTGAGAAGACCACATGAGAACACACCATGCAAAGTGATGTTAATCTACTTATTATAGTTTAGACAGAGGAGTGGATGATTTAATGAACGAAGTCAATCGGGTGCCGCAGTTCATTAGACTGAAACAGTTGCTGCATGTGGGTCAGGCCGGCCGGGTTGGATTTCTTAGGCCTGATATAAACTCTAACATGTGACGACATAAATTTGCTGGGATCTTTGAAATGACAATGTTGACTGGCTGAACAAACCTTAGATTCTTTTAGCATCTTTTGAATTGTTGGTCATTATCTTAACAACAAACATATGTTGGGACATATGTCCCTGATTTGTAGAGATTTTCAAATGCTTGAAACTGCCTTTTACCTTCTGACCTGGTTTTCCCAGAGGACCTTGTGGTCCTGGTTCTCCTTTTGGACCTGTCACACCAGGTTTACCCTGAAACAAACAGAATGAAGGAGCTATTGCTTTTAATCTATTACATAAAAATAAATAAATAAATAAAACAACAACAACAACAAAAAAACAGATCAAATTTGTTCTGTTCTGTACCTTTGCTCCTCGCAGCCCTCTGCAGCCCTTTAAACATAAAACATCACAAAATGCTCTGTAATGTTTCAAAAAAAGATGTTTTCTATGGCATTGTTCTGTATGGCCTTAGCAATGATTAGTATATAAAATAGAAAATATCCTCCCCACCTTTTCCCCTGTAGGTCCTGTGATGTGTTCTGTCATGTTGACCTGAAGGTTTGAGGACAACAGGCTCAGCATCACTGGATGCTTTTGTTCATAGTTTACAACCCAACGACATTAGAAACTAAAACTGCAGAACTAAAAGTACTGCAGAGCAAAAGACCTCCTTACCATCAGCTCTGCTTTGTGTTTGATTGGAGGAAACATAGGAGGAGGCAGAGGAGGCAGGAAGAAGACTTCACATTTCCGAGCCAGCCACTTGCTGCCTCTACTCACTGGAAATCCTGTATGTACGTACACAAGTAACATAAACACATAAACTGCTGTTAGAACATTATAGTCACAGAGAAAGACTTGTGGTTCATGTGAAGCCAAATATCGGTTTAGAAAGTGTTGGACGATCACCAATCTCCCAAAACTAAGGACATGTGGGCCTATTTATTGGTGATCTCCTACTGGAGGAGTTCAGGGATTTTGCTACACTAAAACGATGAAATGAGGTTCTGGGGACAGTGCTCACTTTTCACTTACGGGATGTTAAAGAGGAAGCTGCATGCGGGAGGCCAGAAAGTAACGTAGTCCATCCCAGAAGCAGTATCATCAGCATCTCTTCTCTTCATGAAGCAGCAATCAGATGACCACAACTTCAGAAATGAACCTTTGAAAATAAAAACTCTGTTGAGACGTTCTGGGTTGTTACAATACAAACAATTCTGCCTGCCACACGTTAGCTTCCTTTGTAGCAGTGATTTCACCACTTCCACAGGTTGAGAATGTTATCAATCAGAGCATTTCAGGTTAGACTTTCAGTGTCATTATATTAATTTGTAAAACTGACTAATGGAAGTAGATCAGCAAAATTATAGCCACTAGCCAGGAGGTTCATTATGTTTACAGTGGAAGGAGGCTTTTTATTGTTGATTATGACCGTAAGGTATTCAGAGTAGAATCAGAAATGAAAAAATCAAGGATTCCTTTCACTGGAATAAGCGACTGAAAAACAGACCAAACCTATAATCCATCCTAAGTCAAACTGGAGTCAGGCAAAAGTCAAATCCATCAACTAATAGATCTCCCTTAGTGAACATTGAAATAATCCAACATCAATGCATCCGTTTCTTTTTATACATTCATCTCAACCTCCAGTCAGTCGTGGCAGATGGCTGCTTGTACAGACCCAGGTTCTGGTTCTGATTCTGCTGTGGAGATTTTCCTCTCCACTGTTGCTATATGCATGCTCATTACGGGGAACGCTGTTAAGTCAACAGCACTACACAAGCGATTTTCTGCTGTTGGTAAACTCTGGTCCTATATGAGGGAATGCTACAAGTCAACGACTCGATGGAACCCGATGGGTTTCCTAAGAAAGAAAACTTTCTAAACTAGTTTCAATAACAAACTGAGATTAATGCATTGATGGATAACTAGGATTAATGCATGGATTTATTTAAATGACTTATTTTAAACTTTGAGACAACATCTTTTGTGTAGTGTTGCTATATGAATAGCAAAACATAAACTTGAAAATCTGAGTAATTGAACAGGTTCAACAGAAATATATAAAAATATCCATTTCATTAATAAAGTTAAGTTGTAAGCCAACAGCTGGTCATAAATCTTCACTCAACCTGTTTCTTGTGTTCCTCATCTGCTCAGTATGTTGCAGTGGTTGCGGTGTGTAACCCTGGATAAGCGTTGAAAGTGATGAAAAGCATTTCAGACAGTGTGTAACATGAGAAAGGATGCAAGTGCATGGAGCGTTTTTCCACACAGCGGAGCTCCGTTCACACTAAGGATGATCTCAGGAGGAGGTAAAAGTTGCACCACTCTGCCTGCAATAATTCATCTCCTGCAGCCCGAAGTCCTTCCAGTACAACGCTGCTTTATGGTCATAAATGTTTTCAGAGCAAAAAGCCACACATTCTAGGAAAAAATGCTAGAAAAACCTCAACCATCCAGAGATTAAGGGATTCAATCTGACACAATTTAAAGACTTAAAATTGGTAAACATGAGGGAATCCATCCTGATGAACTCTTATACTAGCAAGTTCCCATGCACCGGTCCCTGCATGCTGTCCTACCTTGCTGTTGAATCCTCTGGGACCTCGTCCTGCAGAGCTGGAGCACAATCTGCTAAGCTTGCACCCCTGAATCTGGTTCATCTCAGTAAAGCGTAGAAATGCAGCACAGCCACTGGCAGAGCTCAGCAAAAATAATCAGATAATTACTTAAACACTGAGCCAAAGAGGAGCTTGCTCATCAAAGCTCAGAGCAGGGAGAAGTCACTGGCATCTTCTGTTAGCTGTTCGATGTCAGCCTGTCACTACTGCAGCCAACAGATTTACTACAGGAGGAATGCAAGAAAAGAAAACATAAACCCTTTCACTTGTCAGTTTAGAGACAGACTATCTTTCAGATCTTTTCCAGATCTGAAAAACTGGAAATGCATCAGAGGTACAACAATGTCCCATGTTACAGTGTCATTACAATAAACGTACAGCAAGAAGCAGTGGGATGAAACGGCATAATTGAGTACGTCTTCCTCTCATCAGTCAGCGGTTCAGAGCCTGTCCTGCTGTTCCCTGTGTGGCTGCAGGGTTTCAACTGGGTTCAGGTCCAGACTTCTTCATGTCACAGCATCCGAGTGACAAACACTTTCACTTTGGCATGGTGATGAAGGAACAAGAGCAGATCTGATGGCAGCATGGAGGCACAGCAACACTGTGTGCAGTTATTAGACATGTTGTCCTTCAGAGGATTTTTATTACTGATCAATCAATTCTAAATGTTAGTAAACCTGATAATTCAAGAAAATAAAGAGGACCTTCTGGTTGTTTCAGCAGAATATCTATTTGTTAGTGTGAAGATTTGTTGAGCAACTAAATAGACAAATGAAAATGTTTCCATCTCATTTGTTTTTCAAAATATACAACTAAACCTGACATTTTATAAACATGTATTATCAATAGTGACTTTTAATAACAGAAGTCTGTCTGTTTCCTGACCTGATTGATGGTGGATGTAGCAGCAGCCTCCCAGAGCTCAGCTCCTTCACCATAAATCTGGTTTCAGAAGGATCAGTCTTTAAAGGGATCAGGTCAGGTGAGGAAGGGGCCGTATCGTCATGTTTCTACCTTCAATGGGAAACCCTGCAATGCAGTGCTTGGATGCAGGCGATGGCGCTCTGCCTGCATGAACTGGTGCCGTCAATTATCCCAGCCAAGCTGCAGCTTTTCCTCAACAGTGGAGCCTGTCATTAATGCTGAAGATAGTTGGCACGGCCACTGATGACGGTGGATAAATGCTTTTCCTGCAGCAGTGAGTTGCTCCTCCCCCATTAACATGTTTGGCAGAACATACGTGAAGATGTTGGTTGGCAGCGCTGAGACCCTCATCTTGGTTCTGATTGGTTGTTTTTGGCCACCAGCTGTGCATTTCTGTAGATAGCAGCTCAGGAAGGAGGTGGAGATCAATCTTTTCAGATTCCACTGATCAACAGACGAAAATATTTTTGGAGTTTTTCAACAGTTTTAGGGTCATGATGATGAGGTGAATCCAAAATCACATTGGTTTTTCTCAATCAGGGCAACTTTTTGAACTGTGGAGTAACAAGAGCATCAAAATGCTCTTGTTACACTGATCTTGTTACACTGATCCAGATGTTCTGACATCTGGATCAGTGAGTGAGGAGCAGGAGAGATTCCATCAGGACAGGAAAGAGAGATCATTTTACACAATGAGGACGTAATGCTCAATTTACATGAACTTACCTTCACTGTTATAAAAAGCGATGTCTGTCCTCCTCATAGACACATCACCAGAAATCTTCAAATTAAACATGGATTCATATTTATGGTCTAAATACATAATGTTGCACACAGCATATTCTGAATGATGACTCGAAGAGAAATCCTGCATAAAGTCTTTACACTGCTTTTATTTAGGAATTTTAAGCCACAAAATAAGCCACTGTGGGACAGTCTGTTAAAAACAAGAAAAACTTTAAGACAAATAACTGAAGGGATGGAAAAGATGTTTGATAAGATTTACACCACCACAGGCCAGTTGTAAGCAGCCTAAAATCAGCCCCATGGAAACGCTTCTTATTTACAAAGGTCAAATCCAAAAGTGGGAAGCAGAAGTTCTTTAATTTTATAATCCACTCAACAGCTCGATCAGAAAAAAGGAACTGTTCTTAAAAACAACCAATGACACAAAAAATTTTTTTAAAAAAGTTCAACTGATCCAAATTAAAACCCATAAGATCCTCCATCAGCAGGTAAACCTTCATTCTTCTATTGCAAATTCCTCAGCAGGCTACGCTGAGCCTCAGTGGTTCTGTCCGCTCCTGGAAGCCGCTCGCATCTGCAGCTCCACTGCTATGCCCCTCATCATGCCTCCCAGCTGCTCGTGCATCTGCAGCAGCTGCTGTGGTGAGTAGCGGCTGAGTTCCAGAGGGGTCGCCCTGCAGGCCAGGGCCTCCATGGCCGTCGGCAGCTCTGCAGCGGGGTCCGCTGTTACCTCGGATCCCTGCTTCCTGTCTTGTAGGCAGGCCGCCAGGGCGTCTGCAGGCAGCGGCTCGTCCACCAGCTCTGTGGCTGTGAGCAGACACATGAAGAACACGCAGAAATGAAGGAAAACGACACTTTGTGGTATGTGAGCAGAAGTTAAAGCTGCAAGATCAAACTTTTACAAAAAGAGTTTTTTTTTCTATATTTATTAAAACTGTTATGACAGTTTGCTATGAGACAGATTACACTGGTCAACAGCCAAGAAACTGTCAGGGTGATGAGCAGCAACATGAGCATCAAAATGCAGGGCTTGTTCTGAGATCTGGATGGTTTCCTGAGATTCTGGATCAATGAGTGACAAACAGGAGAGATTCCATCAGGACAGGAAAGAGACGGAGAATTTTATAAAATGAAGACAATGTCCAATTCACATGTATTGTACTTACCCTTGTTCAATTTATAGAAATCCAAGTGTGTAACAATTAATAGACTCTGTTAGAAACCTTTTTTTTTTTTTACTCCTAAAACCTTTTTTGGATGAGAAATATTAGCAGAAACAAACTGATGGTCATAAAAATGTTATCAATTAGAAGATCAGATTTCTCTAAACCAAATTAGAATATAACTTTGACCTGACTAAGAAAAATGGATCATGTGTGGATTCATTGGTATAAAATAGTCCTAATTCAGTTGAAAAAACAGACAACTTCCAAAAAATATTTTTTGTAACCCGGTGAGGGGGTGAGCTCTATTGAAGGCATCCAGTGTTTACCCACCCAGAGTCTCTGCTGAGGTCTTCTCGTCGCCATGGTTGCGAGGACTGGCCACCTCCTCCACCTCAGAGGTCATCCTCTCCGTTTCGTCGAAGCTCTTCAGCTCATCTGGTCTCCCTTTGCGCTGGACGATAGAAGCTCAGATGTTACAAAGACGCCGACGACAACTTGACCAGCGCCGTAGTGACCTGAGGGTTACCTGCTGCTCATAAATCTTCAGCGCCTTCTTGACGTTGGAGATCTTTGGCGATCGGATGGGCAGAGTCTTGATCTCAGATGGAGTCAGGGCACAGAGATCACCCACTGATTTGACGTTTCGAGCACGAATCAGCTGTCCGAACCCTCGAGACCTGCGTGGTTGACCAACAGGAAGCTTGTCAGGCCAAGCTGAATGGTTTTTACACTGTTGTCTAACTTTCTTAAGGAACACATGTTGAAATGTTTCAAATGTTCTGCTGCTCTCACCACATGGTGGAAGAGATCTGAGAAAGCACAGCCTCCACGGGGGCCGAGCAGCCCACCAGGGACGGGTAGATGCAGTCTCTGGGCACAGGTCGAGGCTCCTGAGTCATTTCAGAAATCTGAGCAAACCAAAGAGAAACTTGCTCTGAAATTTCATTTACAACTAATAATCATTTATTAATTGATTCTAGGATATGGAAAACATCCACAGCAGAATTTTACTATTGGCTTGTTTGAACAAAAAAAAAAAAAAAAAAAAATTGAGTCATCACAGCAAGTGAGATATCAGAGTTGGTTAAAAGTTTCAAAATAAGAGCATTAAAGTACATATGGAAATCCAATGTAATCGCTACAACTCTATTGTAACTCTGCTACAATAAAGGCAGTAAGTTGTTCCCAGAACATGCCGACCTACCAGGCACTTCTTGGAGCTCCTGTAACTTGGACTGTGGATATTTCTGGGGCTCAGGACCAGCATGCCTTTTGTTGGAGTTGTAATGTGCTGAGTAGAGAGGTACAGCGTTAAGGAAACCGTCTGTTCCACATATGAAATACATCACCAGGTTCTTGTATACCTTCTGCTGAGGGACGTTACATCCTTTGGACCTTCTGGGAGAGCTGGTTCTCAGAGCTGGACTGCGCCGGTCGATGTCATCCGCCGTCTCCTGCTGTTGGATGGGGTTGGCGAAAGATACGCGGCGGGACTGCGAACGTAAAAAACAATGAAAGCATGACAAACAAATCACAGGTTTTACCAAGTCTTTAGTCTTATGGACTCAGAGCTGCAGGGGTTACTTACCTTGACAAGAGGAGAGGTCGTCTCGACCTCTAACAATCTCTTCTGGCCTTTTTTGAGGATGCTGGTGGAAGGGGAAGCTGAAGGAGACCACGTTCCCTTCAGCCGCCCGTTGCTGGGACTTTGCCCGACATCTGGTTCTGTTACAGCCTCCAGGTCTTTTTGTTTAACTGGAGAGTCTTGGTCAGAAGCTTGTGAGGATGCTGCAGTGGTGCAGTGCAGTCCAGCATCACCCGACGTTTCGGTGGCAGGTGCCTCTTCGAGTTTGTCTTCAGATGTCTCAGGTTGTCCGTCTTCATTGTCTTGTAAAGTAATTTCCTCCTTAGCACTGGCCTCCGAGACCTGTAGTGTGGCAGACGGCTCCTCCTCTCCTCTGATCTGTACACACTCCATCTGACTTTCCTGAAGCTCCTCAGGAGAGAGTTTTTCTGGAGGAGGAGCTGGAAAGTCTTGCTGGTCTGAATTTGATTCCTCCTGTTTTTCAGTAACTCCTTCAGTTTCAGAAACCTTTTCTGCTTCTTCTTTGGACATCTCTGAGGCTTGCAGTTTCTCCTCAGCTGGCAGACATGAATCCTGTGCTGGTGCATCTCCAAACACAGAAGATTCAAGCACTTCTACTGCTTGTAAAGAATCCTTTTCACTCTTTGAGTCTCTTTGTTCAGTAGTGTCCAATGACCTGGTATCCTGGCTGGCCTCTTCACTTTCTGCCTTCTTCGAATCTTCTGTCTCCAGACATAAATCAGTCCGTGACTCAG